TACAATGCACCAGAGAACGATCCAACCACCACCACCACACCACCACACCACCACCACCATCATGGAACGGAAATACAAGGCCAACACAAAACATCCCCATCTTGCTTGCGAGGCTTGTAGTTAGGAGCCTGCGGCATCAATGATCTGTCTGTAGAGCCAGTCGCCTACATCGAGATTCACCAACGGGCGAGCGGGTTTATCAGTGCATCAGATACAGCAGAAATTACAAAACAAGCGGAAAATTTTGATCTCAGGAATAAAAGGAGGATGGTCAATGTACAAGATTCCTGCTCTCCTCTCCTTCTAACTTCTTCACTTCCCACTCCCTGTTCCCCCCATAGTGCTTGATGCAATGCTTTTCGACTCGAGCTTGTTTCGCCCTTGCATGACACGCTCATCTCCTGCTCCACTCCGCCTCTAGCCGACCATTTACGACTTCTCCAACTCGGCCAAAATCTTCTCACCCTTGGCCCGGGCACTCTCAAAGTCGCCCACCATGTAGAAGGCACCTTCCGGTAGGTCGTCGCCTTCACCATTGATGATCTTCTGGAAACTGCTGATCGTGTCCTTGAGGTCCACAAGCTTGCCTTCGATACCAGTAAAGACCTGGGCGACGGTGAAGGGTTGAGAGAGGAAACGTTGCAGTTTACGGGCACGTTCGACGGTCAACTTATCGGCTTCCGACAATTCATCCATACCCAGAATGGCAATGATATCCTGGAGAGATTTGTATTCTTGCAACATCTGCTGGACGCGGGATGCGGTGTCGTAGTGTTCTTGGCCGACAACACGAGGGTCCAACATACGGGATTTGGAGTCGAGAGGGTCGACAGCTGGGTAGATACCCAATTCAGAGATACCGCGAGACAACACGGTGGTGGCGTCCAAGTGAGCGAAGGTCGTGGCAGGGGCGGGATCAGTCAAATCATCAGCGGGCACGTAGACGGCCTGCACCGAAGTGATGGATCCCTTCTGGGTCGTGGTAATACGTTCCTGCATGGCACCCATGTCGACGGCAAGGGTAGGTTGGTAACCGACGGCAGATGGAATACGGCCTAGCAGAGCGGACACCTCGGAACCGGCTTGAGTGAATCGGAAGATGTTGTCAATGAAAAGCAACACTGTTACGAGCGTCAGCAAACATGTCCCGATGCTTAAAGTTAGACAGATCCATACCATCCTGGCCTTGATTTCTGAATTCCTCCGCTACAGTCAACCTGTGGACAGCAAGTACAAATATTAGCATAGGAACCAGAATCCAGTTCGATATCAAAACGCATTGACAGATTGGCGGATGGTCTTGGCGGAATGACCAGTAGACTTGGCGGGGATCTTGGCATAAAGAGGAGCGCCAGCGCAAAGATGCGAAGGGTTCAAGAAGGGCAAGGAACTACTCACCCGGTCAAGGCAACACGAGCACGAGCCCCAGGGGGTTCGTTCATCTGACCGAACACCAGGGCCACCTTGGATTCGCCGTCAAGCTGAATGACAGAGGTTTCCTGCATTTCGTGATACAGATCGTTACCTTCACGGGTTCGCTCGCCGACGCCAGTGAAGACGGAGTAACCACCGTGGGCCTTCGCGATGTTGTTCTGCAGACAGTTAGTCATCGAAACCTAGATGGCCAGATGTACCCACAATCAGCTCCTGAATAAACACAGTTTTGCCGACACCTGCGCCACCAAAGAGACCAATCTTTCCACCACGGGCATAAGGAGCCAGCAAGTCTACGACCTTGATGCCGGTAACCAACACTTCGGCAGTTGTGGCTTGCTCAATAAACTCAGGAGGGTCGGCGTGGATGGGGGCGAATTTGTCGGCTTTGATGGGACCTCTTTCATCGATGGGATCGCCAGTGACGTTCATGATACGACCCAAAGTGCCTGGGCCTACAGGGACCTTAATGGGGGAGCCGGTATCGGTGGCTATGTGACCTCGGACAAGACCCTCGGTACCTTTGAATGGAAGAGTTAGCCTTGGTCAATTGAGTGTGCGAAGAGCTCTCTTACCATCCATAGCAATACATCTCACGACGTTCTCGCCCAAATGTTGCTATTTACCATCAGTCTCCAGCTTGCTAGCCACAATATCACTTTGTGTTCGTACCGCAACTTCCAGTACAAGTTTCTGGCCGTTGTTGTCAGTTTCTAGGGCATTGAGAATGGCAGGCAATTGTTCGGTATCGAATTTGACTGTTGATTAGCCGTTAGCTTGATTGATCAATCCAATCTCGAATGTATATGATGATAGTCGAGCTTGGGGGGAGCTCCATGGGCGCAGGAAATGAAATTTTCTTCCCATACCGTCAACGACAGCACCAATGACCTGGTGAATCTTGCCATCTTTTGCAGAGTCTGTCGACGCCCATCGCTGTGCTAGAGCTGGAACGGCTTGTCTCCGGAGAGGCTCGAAGGCGCGTCGGGAGATCGAAGGTCGAGCAAGGGCAGACCTGCCCAAGCTACGGGCGATGCCGCTGTTCAATCAGAGTCAGCAACAGACCAGAAAGGCACTCGGGAAGCTCTGCATGTGTATGGCGGGGAGCACACGAACCTCTTGAGCATGCTTGCAGATGAACGAGAAGGTGAGGATTGAAAGGTAGAGGGGAGAGTTGGTATGGGATCAGGAGCAAAGTGAAGAAACTTGAAGTCAAAGAATCAAAGTTGCTGTTCATTGAGCTCGGTTCGGCGCTATACCTAATTGGGGACCTCCATTTGACTCCGGCAAGGCCCGATCTTCCAGTATGTGCCTCGTCAATTTTCGAGAGCCACCACCACCGTCACCGCGCAAATTAGAATAATATTAGGGCTCAACGGGACTTAGTATGACTTGCGTAGAATTAGAGGAACTGCTTTGTGCCACCGATTTCAATCAACGCCTGTTTTAATCTATGTACAGTCTCGCACGAATCAGAGAGCGGCCGCAAGGCACAGCTTCAGGGAAAAGTTGTGGATTTTTTTTTCTGTATTCACAAAACACAATGAGATCCCTGCTTTCTGGAGATACTAGTCACAGTACAAAAGTCCACCAGATGCGCTGGTGCAAGCCCGCATATCTTTACCCTTCACACCACCGTCGCTTACTCGTCCGGTTCAAGCTTGATGCCCTGAGCCTTAGCAGACTTGCTTTGAACGTGGCCTGGACCAGCGTATCCTTCACTGCTGATACCATACATAGGGTTGCTCTTCTCGGACTGTAGTTAGATGTGTCAGCTTGGTTCTTAAGAGAGAGAAATCTTGCGAGGCCTTCCAGAACTCCGCAGCAGCCTCATACAAAGATTGACTCACCTTGAGATATTCATTGGTAGCTTCTTGCCATTCTTTGGTCATGGTTCGTGGAGGAGGTCTTGCCATGCCGTGGATGAGCATGAATGTAGCCAGCGAGATTCCAATGCCAACTGCCGTATAAAGCCAAACTTTGGTCCATTCGCCCGGGGGCACCTCTGCACGAGGTCCGTGAGGTCCAAATGCAATCCACCATGCTGTTAAAGCATCAGTAAGTATTCCCGAGCGGTCTCGCATGACTTCTTGTAGGAAGCAGCGGGAATCGAAGCTTCGTCAAGCCCATCACAACCCTTGCCGCGTCCCTCCGTGGAGGCGAGACCAGTACATACCAGCTTTCTTTTCCTGCAAAGTCATCTCGTTCCAATCAACCTTCATACGATCTCTCAGTTGCATCCATAGCTCGGCCTGCTCTTGTGGAGGCATCGCTTCCCACCTCTTTTCAATTCCGGCGAGCGTAGGGTTGGAGATGGCGTGGGCCGATCGCATCTGGGACTGGCTAGTCATGGGAGGGAGCTGTTGGGTAGCTGCAAAAGTGGGAGCCAGGGACCGCGCAGAGGATTGGAAGCATCGAATCGAGGGAGACGTGATTCGCGTGCATGCTGTCGAGGTGCTGGTGGAAGCACGAGCTGCACGGGTTAAGGAGCGGAGATACATCTTGCTGGAAGTGTGTGAAATCGATCAATACATACGAAAGTCGAACTTTGAATACCCTACCGAAGCCTGGAGCTCGGCGGCCTCTGTCGTAGCAGGTTGCTTATGGGTTGAACTTGGTAGGAGCGAGAATGATTGTCTGAGGTCGTTGTTCCGAGATCCTAAGTTCAATCACATTGCAGAGGATTCGCTAGCTCCCTGGCCTTGGCACTGAGTAAAATTACCGCTACATCAGCAACCATCACCCCACAGCCTCCAAGTTGGTATTACGTCTGTACTCGGTACTTGAGATGCAATAGTTGTCTGTGAGTACACGCTGACTCTTCCCTGGCCACGACTTCTACGGCGTGCACGGCTTTGCTCACGGCGACTGAACAATTACATGTATACCTGAAAAGACATCACCCGGGCACGAAACGGGGTCGATGCTCGTCATAATGTGATACTCAGGAATACCAAAATTACGACTCCGATCAGCCGCACCAGAATGACATGTAACCCTGAAGATGGACCAAATGGACTTCTCCGCGCACGATTGCTTCTCAGAGACATGCAGAGGGATGTATACTTGCTGAAAAGGGTGACTAGAACACGGCGAGCACATATTGGGAGAAGGTCCCCGCAGGCATACCGTTACAAGCACAATAGGTTAAGAAGACTCCAACATTCCAGACAAGATGAAATGCTTCGAGCTTTTTGTTTGAGACAATCTATCTCGGCCATTCAACATTGCAATGTTCTATCTTCGTCACAGCATCAAATGCCAGGCGTGCTCCAACGGCGCATACCCTACCCGTTTGCCATGCTCGGCTCGTTGGAAGATGTGCCCTTGCACTCAGGTGCCACAAGACCAACATATATCTCGTGGTAATGGTGTTCTGTTGCTGGTATGTCGAAGTGTTGTCCAACCCGCGTCCATAGTCATTCTTCTCTTAGACCGTCCCTTTGCCTTTGCTGGCTTCCTTGAGCAGATCGGCCCACTCCAACTCGCCCGGGTCGTTCGCTTGCCAGTTCATGGCAATCCCGTTGAGGGCGTTTTTCAAGGTCTCGCGGGAGCTGGCATACACCATGCGGGACTGTGCCAGAAAATCTTAGCCGTGGTAACTGCGGGAAATTGTAAGGGCAGACAAACCTTGACACCAGTGTTGTCCTGATTGATATAGGTGATGAATGCAATCTTGGATCTTCATGCTGAAGTCAGTACACCTATCCGCGAAGCCCAACATGGTTATCATTGGATATACCTCTTGCCTTCACCGCCCTCAAGCTCAAATTCAACGTCGTAAATAGCGTACGAGGGACGGTCCTTGCCATTGGCCTCCTTCTTGCCAATGAGTTTCTCTCTGAAGGCGTCGTAGTCTGGCTCGCTGCCGACTTCATCTACCACGATTTCCTTCTGATCATCAGAGATCTTGTAGATGATGTATTTGGGACCGCCGCGACCGAGTTTCAAATCATTGAACTTTGAGACGCAGTCGGGATTGACAGATAAGCTAGTGGGATCAAGGCATTAGAGAGGCACGGCGGCGCGCAATGGATAACAGGGTCTTTCAAGGCAGGTTGTATGCACATACCCGGACACAGGCTACAAGGCAGAGTTAGCGCAAGCGGTTTTGCAGGATGGATTCAAGCACTTACCATGACTGCTTATTCAAGTTCCAGATACTTATGCGACTCGATTTGAAGCTGTTACTGTGGTCAGTTTTGAAGGAGAATAAGATGGCGCTTGGAGAGATGGGGGCGCGAAAGAAGCAAAGATAGGGAATTTGAAGTCTCGGTCAGGCACCGGTGATGGGAGATGCAGTAAGAGAACAGCTGACGTACTTTGCGGGAGGATTTTGGTGCAAGACTGGACAATGCAGCGTAAAGCAAAATCCAGATTGCGTGTAAGGGTAGGCAGAGGATAAGAGAGTGTTTGGTGGGATGGGACAATGACAGAGGCAGCAAAAAGAGAAGAGTGAGTGGTGGGGTCCAGATTCAATAATACGGCATACGCGCCTAATAGCATCGAGGGGCTCGCCAGGCTCCTCCGGCGCTTTGGCAACAAGTCGCCGGTTGGCAGGCGAACGCCCAGAAATTCAGCCCCGTGAGCACTCGCGTCCTTCTCTCACCGATACTTTTGATATTAATTAGTGTTCTGATGATCTCCTCTCTGGCTGATGGGTGCCTGCGACAGCTTCAGCGACTCCATTGATCTTGTTACGAACAGCTGAGGTAGCTGCCGCTTCTATCCGTGAACAGTTCCTACGATTACGATATCTTCCGGACACCTCTGCGCATTGTTCCTCAACCTACAATTGGCCCATACACCGAGCGTCAGCCGTCTTGCACGAGCTAATTGTCCTCTGCCTCTCGGCTCACGACTCAAGGATGTGACCCACGGGTGACTACACTATGGATTCGTCTAGCCGGACAAGAAAAATAGATACAGTTGTGGTAGGTAAGTGAGTCTATGAGGTGGTGATCTGGGTAATCCAGATGCGAATTTGGTTTCGCCTCGATGCTACAATATCCAGCGGACAATAGACACTTGGGACGCTAAAGCACTATGTGATATCGTTGGCATGATGGGAACACCGGCTGTGCATTGTTTTAGGATCAACGTCTCAAGATTCTCACCACCTGTTGAGCCTTGCTGCATCTTCGTCACTCCACTTACGTCCCGGTTGAAGGTGGCTTCGACAAGGCCACGAGGCAGTTGGCATGGTCACGAGGGGTCACTCTTCCCAGTAAGTACAGCGCTGGCAGGAAACGGGTCATAGTATGGGATATGGAGATTGGTCGCCGTCTTGAGAGAGACGATTTTCGGTCCAGCACAGGGTTCAGGTACGAAAAGCGATACTTTACGATATGCGATCTATGCAAATAGCCCGAGGCCATCGATTGTCGAGGAGTAACTGTGTCAACAGCAAAGAAGAGGCCTTGTTTTGTGAAAGTATCTCAGACCAGTGAGCTCAACTTCAGATCAGTGCATGAGAGAAAGAGAAAGAGGAGGAAAAGATCAAAGATCGAATGGCAATATATTCAGTTGACCCACTGAGCCTCCCTCCTTCCACCACCTTTTTAAACCGACCTCAGGTGTTTTCACTCTCTATCTCACAACCCTATTGCCTTCGCCTTTACCATATCGTGTCAACTCACCTAACTTCGTTAAACCCTGATACTGCTCATCGCCTCCAATTTTCAAATCTCACCGAGAAGCTTTGATCACCAGCCATGTCGAATCCCTGGAACGATGCTACCGAAAAGCTTTTGCTTTTCAGCATGATCGAAGAGCCAGATAACTGCTCTCGCGCAAAGTTCGAACAGGCTGCCGTGGCAATCGGTGGTGGAGTGAGTGCAAATGCGTGTCGGTCAGTTCACTCTCCTCTTAGAAAACTTTCAGCGTCTGAGAGATTCAGAAATTCACACTCTCCCTTCCCCTGACAACTTTTCCCTTGCTCCCACCCTCACTGCATCTGTCTTCTCCTGGTTTTGAGTATAATCAGCCACCGCAAACATCTCATCCCCTTCTGAGTGTCACTACACCCCATTTCCTTATTGAAACCCCTGAGAAATCCCTCCTCCCATCCTTCATCACCCCAGTGTCTACATCATGCCATTCAAGTGGGATGCTGCTTCCGAGCGCAATTTGCTCCTCTTTGCCCTTGCGGAGATGAGCCCACCAGCGGCTTCGATTTGGCCTCGGGTTGCCGACAAGCTCGGCAATGACCTCAACGCAAATGCCTGCAGGTATCAACACACTCTATGAAAAGTTTCATTACGTCTCCCGCTTACTTCTTCCTTGTATCGACGTCTACTTGTTCCAGGTCTGAGACCATGCTGACCTCTAAACATGCAGCCAAAAATTCTACAAGCTGAGGAAAGAGAGCGAAAAACTGCTTCAGCAGGACGATGCGGCTGCCAGCGGTGATTCAGCGACCCCAGTCAAAGAGCCAAAGACCACGAAGACACCCAATAGCAAGGCTGCCTCTGGACGGAAGCGAAAAGGCGCCGACGCCAACGGAGAAGAGATCAACACCCCCGTCAAGAGAAAGCGAAATGTCAAGAAAGAAGCCCCAGCCGACTCAGGGGTTGAAGTCAAGACAAAAATTGAAGAAGATGAGAGTGCCGCCGTCAAGAGTGAGGTCGAACACAGAGAAGGTGAATGAGGGATGCTCACTTTGAAGTTCGGTATATGATGCATGTCCCGTTCGAACTTTCCCACTACTGACTATTGACGAGACTCACCGGTTCCGATCTCTAAACCTGAACCAACTTCAGTCACTCACGGCGTGTTTGGGAGGAGGGTCACAAACTTCTTTCGCACGGGGACCTAAGCTTTTTCTGCCAGGGTCTTGCAGGGGACATGGTATGAGACAATAGGACATGGCTGAGCTGAGATTTTGTTTGAGGAGAGATTACTTCGAATGGGTTCCGTGGACCGTGACGAGTGCAGCGACTGTTACTCTCGTCCGGGATCAACCCTGCAGCCATGTCATCTTGGACGCAGAGAACAGGCGGAGCCCTCATACTATTCGAGACACATCAGATAGCTGAGGAGAATCGACAATTGAATACAATTGGATCACACGTCATGACTGAAATCATTTGCCCTGCCCCCTTTCGTTGCAGTTACGGAGCCACTGTTGGGATCTACGGTGTTGGCCAGGTAGCAGTCGCAGGGCGCAAGGCACACTCTTTACACGAGCCTGCTCGAGTTCTCCTGTGCATCTTCGAAACGAAATCGATTTGCTTCCGGCCCATCGCCATCGGTCCTCGCGATCTCGTACTCTTGGTAGTATCCGTGGGCTTAGTTTTTTGTGGACGAGATAAACCTATACCTATTTCCAGCTAGGGCAACGCAGTCAAGGCTGAGAGATGGCGCTGAATTCGTGGCCACCAAAGCATGAATGAGGTGTGGAAAATCCACCTTTTCCTCTTGGTCTTCTCGGTGAAGTGATTCGTACCACTGTAGATGTAGCGGCATGCACACCTACGGCTCACTGTGCCTTGTCGCTGTGCGCTGAATGCTCTCGATCAGGTTCGCCAAAACAAGCTAAGATCAGCTGGTCGGAATCTCGCAATGTCGGGGACGAGAGGGTCCAAGGCGAAACCAACGGGGAGAGGCTAGGAACTGCGGTAGCGGGTATCGCTGCTCAAATTGGGCGCAATCAAGAGCCTGTGACATTGAGAATTCAGAATTCCTGCAGACAGAAATGCCTTGTTCCATTGCGATTACAACCGTTGTGCTCCAATCAGCAACCGATTCCAAGTCTGGTGGAGGTTGTGGTTCGCTTTTGTAATGACAGTGTTACCGCTAACTGGCTCGCCGGGCTGCCAGACTGCCCAGACTGCGCTGCTCCACCATGATCCTGTGGCCTGAACCACCCAGACCGTCGCTCTCCCTCTCAGTCTCTCCCCCTCGCTTCCTCGCCACCCTCCATCACAATTTTCAATGGCTTCAACGCGCTCCACTCCATGGCTACCTGGAGTAGTTTGGGCGCCGTGCATCAAAGGCACCGTCCACCCAACACTCTTTTCGATGTGTTCCTCTCAGCCCCTCTCAATTCATGTCAATGACTGACTTCCTCTTCAGTTTGAGCCATCGCCTCCATGTCTGCACCGAGAACTTCGAATGTGCCCTCGATCTGGGACTTGAGAGATTCTCTGTTCCGGGCATTGGCAGCAGCTTACGCTGCGTTGGGCGAGGACCTGGTAAGATATCAATTTTCTACCGAGAAACGTATCGAACTAATAGTTCGACAGTTCCGACGTGAGTTGACGAGCATCGCGGCTTATTACGGAGAAGGGGCTACGCTCCCTGAGATTGAAGACCTCTTTACAAAGCATGTTCCAGCAGAAGCAGAGCAACTTAAAACCGAGCTGGCTAGTCACCGCAGCGGTGGTAGAGAGAGGCGTTCCAAGGGTCCGGCACGATCCCGTCGTCCACCTTTGCTCAACTTCGACGACGAGGATCTAAGTATCTTGAGCCCGAGAGAGGTTGATGTCCTGAAAGCTCGGTCTAAAAACTCGATCCAAGAGCCCGCAAAACGTCTTCAAATCATCAATGGATCGTCTCGCATATCGCCAGTCGGAGACGTACCAGCGACAGGGGCCATGGCACCCCCAGCAGCCACAACATCTGGGGCTGCAGCACATGTAATCCAGACGGGACCATGGAACATCGATGATACTGGTATCCAATCTCGTCTTAGTCAAGCGAGCATTTCCCAAACTCGAAAACGTCGGTTTTCAGAGGTGCATGATTCAGTGGAGCTCCAGACTGCAGATGATCGTCGCCCAAGAGCACCACCAAGATCTGAATCCTTCGGCTATGTTACAAGGAATGGTGAATACCGGTGTGCTCTTTGTCAGAGGCAACTACCCAACGAAGACGATCTGAAGCTGCATGAACAGATCAGTAAAGAGCATACCCGCAGTCTCAAGGACCAGAGAAAGGTCACTCTCGGTCGTGGGAGATTAGCCGTTCTCGCTGCACTATCAGCCAAGGGCCACAATGCGAATACTTCCGTGCTCGGTCAGCGTCTGAGGATTCATAATCTACTCGCATCAAGTCCGGATGCCGCAGCTTCTGAGATCTTGGCGAAAGAAAATGGCAACCGGCATGAACTTGACCCCAGCCTGCGCCAAAGTCAGGACCGTCAGGCTTCTTCGACAGACATTGACGATGAAGGGCGATGGCATCCCAACACCATACCAGTGACACAAAGCGTTGAGAGCACAACCCCTGCTTGCGTAGCTGGGCCTTTACAGACTCTCTACAAGGGTAAATGCCGTGCCGATTCGCTTATGTCTGCGTCAGACGGTGCTCCAGCTCCAGAAACAGCACCCTCGCGGGCAGCAGGAATAGAAACAAGGTCCACGACTGCTCGGACTGAAATCGGAACTCTCAACACTCCTCAGATCCCCACCGGGGTCGAACCCACCAGCACACAGCAGCCTCACCACAACTCCGAGAGTGGAGGGGACGAGGAGGCATCTGAAATCCCAGATAGTGTCATCGCCAAGGACATTTCCCGTTTGATCCAGTTAAATCTCAAATTGCTGAACGTTTTCCAGAAATCCGCGTTCGCTCGAGACAATTCATCTCCTCCTTCTGGCGAGAGGGCGCCTGCAAATGTTCCCGACGACAAGTCTGGACCTGGAATGATGGGTATCAAGAACAGCCCAAGTACAAACTCTACTGTCCCCACAACTATGGTCCTGGAAACGCTGGATCAGGCAGCTTCGTGTAACGCTCCGAACCCTGGCGGGAGAAATTGTACGCGGAGGACGATATCTGCGCCGGGAATTGGAGTTCGCCTCGGCATCAAACGTGGAGACACGAAAGAAAACGGCAAAAAGAAGGATGTCGGCGAGCCTATTTCTATGATCGTTCTCGACTAGGAAGGAATTTGGATTGACATGCTCTTGTATTTTCTGACTCCCTCATTCCAAGATACAAGTGTAGCTAGTTTAGCAAGCTCAATGGTTTCTCGCACAAGCATCTTTTCATGGTTGGTTGCCAACATAGCTCTAGACCCAACTGTTTGAGTTTTTGCATACTAAAGCTCGAATACCTTCCCCTCTACTCCTGCCCATGTCTGCAGAAGACATGAGTGTTACTGAATATCAATCTCTCGGACATTTCTATGTCAGCATTCCTCGCAGTGCCAACATAGACAGCTCAGTTTTTTGCAAGCGAAAAAGAGAAAAGAAAACCCATGCATTGAACTCGTATGGCTACAGTGGCGTATCGCACACGTTTCAGTTCTCGGTCTTGATCTTCTTGTTCATTCTCCCGCCCTTGGCGGCGTCGGCGTCGTCTCGCCCATACTCCTCGCCGTCGTCGACTCTGCGCTTCTGAGGCATGTATAGCGGCATTTGCGCCATGAGTACGCCGTTTGTCGCTGGTGTCGCCGCTTTCCCTGCTCCCGCCGCAGACTCTGCCGGTGACGGGAGACCGTAGGCAGCGCCCGGGCTAGAAGGGTAGCTCATTTCCACCTTGACGCCGTTGGCCATGGCGAGTTCTGTAGCATTCAGCTTTCCAGACTGCAGTTCGAGCTCGGCCTTGATATTAGGCTTCGTTTCTTTGTCGTCGGCGCTCTTACGCTTCGGCTTGGATGGAGCCTTAGGCGCGGTATAGGCGTGGCTATTTCCGTTTGGTGGACTCGTAGTTGTGATGATGTTGAGACCATTGCGCTTCTTAATCTCACCGAGACGCTTCACGATGGTGTTGGGCTTCGTGCCGGTCTTTTCGCAGTATGGGCCAATATGAAACTGTCGGGCGCGGGAGAGAGTCAGTACATCGCGTCGAAAAAGGTGATTCGACCCGCGGAAGAGAGCAGGAGAGAGTTTGACGTTTGAGGTGATGTGAGATGGGATTAGGGGACGTGGTGAGGTATGCTAGCAGGTACTGAGAGGGCTAGAGTAGCTGGCGGGAGTGGTTGGAGGCACTGGTCAGCACTTACGAGGATCGGCTGAGGAGAATCGCGCATCAGCTCCATCAGGAACATGGCGTCTTTGGCACTCAGTTCCTGCTTAGATTGTTGTCCTGGTGCCATTTCAGTGAAGTGATGTGTCAATGCTAGGGAGATGGAATGAATGAGTGTGGTGAATTAAGCTTGGAGGGTCTCTGTAGAAGGTAGAAGAGATGGAGATGAACGAAGCTGCATAGGCCAAGTGAGTCGAGTTCAAGGAACAAGTGAAGGACCAAGTTGAAAAGGGGACACTAGTGGGAAGGTCGCGAGTAGATGGACGGGCACATTTTCGCACCCGTCATGACCAGGAGGCTGGTTTCTGAATTCACTGGTCGCTTTAGCTCTGCTACTCAGAGGCCAGAATCTGATGAGGGAAATCACAGAGGCGGAGAACGTCGAGGAAGGAAATTCCCGCACGTGCAGCCGCTAGCGTCCTCAGCCCGGTTAAGTGAGGCGAGACTAAGGGGAAGGGTGGTGATCTATGGTGTAGTCTAGCTGTAGCCATTGGACGATTCTGGAAAGAGGTCTCGTAGCTCATAGCCTTACTTTACGGACTATACGAGGATCGGTCAGGGTATTAGCGTGGACGTGTAAAAATGCTCACAGGCCTGTCCAGCATGCCCGTAGCTGCAAAGAGCTACAACCAACACACCCAAGCCTAATACCGGAGTCGTTGTTGTGCTGCCGCGGGGCACAAAGACCACAGATACGAGTACTAATCTCAACCCATTGCAGTAGTAGTAACTTGGGCTACGCTCCTTACGGGCTTCCGAACTTGCCTAGACCAATGTGCTCGTAATTGCTTGCATATTTCGCGCTACGGGGAGCGTAGAGCGAGGGCGTCCCTCGAGGAAAAGCAAATAGACGAGACAAAGGGAGACCGGATTGCAAGGCGTAAGGCTCTTGCAGGACAGACAAGCAAGGCGCAAGAAAGACAAAAAGACGGTGTAGAATCCCAACAGGATTGGAACAATCAATCACACACACGAGAGGACTTCCATCAAAACAAAACTCCTCAACAGAAACCAAAGAGGGGCGTGGCGGCATACCAGCAGTGCTCCCTTGCCGCATATGGCCTGATAGGATTTCCTTGCAGGGCTATACCAGGGTTGTGTGAATGAGTGGGGCCAATTGCCAGGGAGTTCGAAGCCTCATGTTCCTGCGGCGATGGTTGGTTCACCTTTCCGCCTCTACTTCTTCTTGAAGGACCCCTGCGGCCCACCATCCCCGCTCCACATCATCCACTAGCATCCCGACTGGGCTCCTTGATTGAATATGCCAAGACTCTGCTAGTCGGTCGCCAAGAAACTCAAACAGATAAAATGGACGACAAGTCTGCATATACAAACCCAGGCATACACGTTTATACAATGTTTGATGGCCGCTATCTCTTGAAATTGAGGAGGCTGGGAAGTCTTCCCACCTCATGCAAGCGAAATCCCCTTCTTCCCAGCCCCCCCTGTTTTCTCCCGCAGCCTACTTGCCCAGAACCCAAGGCCTGCCCACTCCTCCAAAAAACCTGACTGGAAGTCGCTTCTTTAAAAATCCTCAGCCGTTTTGCCGGCATATGCGCACCGTTTCTGAGTCACTTCATGGCGGTTTGCAGCCAACATCTGCAGCCGTTGCACCCTGCTTGCACCCTTGCGAACTCAAAACTCTGGAGATTGCCACCTCAAGCCATGAAGCTGTTGCTACCGCTGTTCCCACTGCTTTGTCCACTCATCAGTTCCCCCATGTTCTCCGACGCGAAATAGGCTGCTGCACTGAATGGTGCGTCGTAGCTGTCAAATGGATCCAGACTGTTCACCGCCATTTCCTCATGCTTGGCTGCCCGAGGGCTTTGGGACTCCTCGCGAAAGGGAACACCTTCGACAGACTTTTGCTTGGATTTTCGACCTCGCTTGGAGGGAGGTGTCTTGGTCTCGTCATCTGGTTCCGCCTTGCGCTTGGTTGGCGTAGATGGAGTTGCGACCCCTTGCTCCCCGACCACCTTTGCCATGTCATTCCGCAGCTTGTAGTATTTCTGACTGTTGCAGGTCAGTCAATTCTGCAGACGTCTTCGTCCACGGATCGGGCAACACGCACCTCACGGCTGACGGACTCAACCCCTCTCCTAAAACTGCTGCAACCCGCTGCCACGTATCAGCTGAAGGCCTCAGATTTGCAGCAGAAATCGCGAGTATCAGCATGTGGCGCTCCCGCTCGGCAGTCCATTGGTAAGGCATGGTGGGTTTGATGACACGTCTTGCAGAAACACCGACAAGCAAAGGGCGAAGCTGTTGCGAGTGTGCTTGAGAGTGTCGTGAGTAGAGGAGGAAATTGAACGGAGAGACTAGGGAGGTTGTGAGAATGTGGGAAGAAAGTCGCGAAATATAGGAAGAATGTCGAGGGCAATCAGCAACACACCGTCATGTCGCTGGAGTGTCAGTGTGGGCCTGGAATGAGGTATCTACAGCTGCTGGGTTTGTTAGCTTGGAGTTAACCATCAGTAGTCGCAGTGCGTCCTGTAGTGTGACAGTGATGAGACAATGAGGAGCAATTCTGACAGTATCTCCTCGCCACTAGCAAGAACTGACGTTTGTTGGCAAGAGGCCATAAATATGCAACCTCTATAGCTGATTTGACTCCCCGTGTGCAAACCTGCACTAAGCACGTCTAGCGCCGGAAAATGGCCTCTTTGCACATTCTCTGTTGGCGGACGCGACGCTGAAAGCCAATCAATGGCAATGTCGGATCCCTGTCTTCCGGCACACTCAGTCACGGAACTGCATGGGCCCAAATGTAATGACAGAAACCGTCTTCGAGCGTTCCTTGCTTGCTTTTTAGTTCAGACACTGAGGCTCGAAGCATCCCCTGGGGAGTCGTCCTTTCGCCCTCCTCTCGAAAGAGAGAGAAAGCCTGGACCTCGAGCGCCTTGGTTGATAGCAGCCTGAGAGGTATAAAATGCCCTTGAGCCTGGAGGTTGAGATTAAAAGCTCAGTCTCGAGAATATCTTCTACTCATATCTAGACGTTTGTTGAACCATCTTGTCTTCTCAAGCCCACCTTATCTAGCATACAAAGCAGAGAAAACTTGCCACAATGGCTGAAAACCAAATGATTGAAATCAAGGAAGCCGATGTCGTGGCTCTGATCGCCGCCCTTCAGAGCGCGGTCAGCACTCTCGAAGTATGTAACACCCCCACTCCTAAGGCTTCCCAACAATCCCTCTCTAACCATTCATCTATGATCTAGGTCGATGCCGAAGCGGTGGCTAGACGTCTAGGCATGAGCCTGTCTAGTATTCCTCCTAAGTTCACGCGGATCCGCAGACAGTATCGCATCGACATCAAGGTCGTCAACTCCGGGGCCTTGCAGCGCAATCGCCAATCCACTCCTAAGAAGAGGATTTCTAGAAATGAACCCAAACGCGCGAGGGCCAGCAATGCTCCTACCCCCTCGGACAACTTTGAGAATAATATAGACATGAAAGAAGAGAGTGCATGAACATTCAGCAGGGCTGTGCAGTGGTGGCTGTCATAACCACTAGGAGGAAGCATGGCACAAGGTGTTGTGAACAAAGAGGAGCACAGGCAATGACATGAGAGAAAACAGGGCGGGTGACGGTTGAAAGAAAAAGTTACATGATACTATCAAGCAGTGCGGTTACTTATGAATGCAATGAAGACATGAACGATGGATCCAAGTCTAGTATGGGTGTCCTTAGGATGTTTTCTGTATGACAACCGCTATGTTCAGCGCCTATTCAGCCCGTCATTCGTGTGAGATGATTAATTGCTTGACCGTGCTCTGCTATACGTCGGAATCATCGTGGAATGCTCCGTCATAGTCGGCGAGACCTGCCGCGCGGTCACCGCTCACGAAGAGGGACAGCCGGTTTGTCGTCCGCTCGTCCGCGATCGTCATGGAACCGGTCCGCGCCGTAGAAAATAATGCGGCTTCCCTTCGTCTTTGGCAGACAGCGGCCGCGACTCTGACAAACTGGCTTTGACTCGGAGTGAGGGGCTCGATTATCTCCGCGTGCGAAATCCTGGTGGTTGAGCGGGTTGTGACATGCGGTAGAAACGAGGGACGACATGTGGACAGTAGAGGTCACGGGAAATCATTTTCTTTCTCATTACTTTGTTTACTATGAGACGATGCTCACAGCGTGTGCTGTTCTCTGATCTGCTTAGACATGCATAAATGTGTGTCAATATCTGACATGGCGCGGCCGCTCTACTTCTTCTTTTCTGAACCCTTCACTTGCGAGCCAGCCTCGCGAGCTTCGCCTTGCGTGCTGCCTTCTCCTTGCGCTCTTCGGCAAGGTCGTACTCGCCGTCCGAGTCCTCGGAGTCCTGGTGCCTTGCACACACATATTCCTCCTCCCCCTCCGTGCCGCCGTGCCCGTCCTCGGACATGGGCTTGGCTGCATGGCGAGTTTTGCGCACTGGCAAGGTTCTTCGAGTCAGTGGGGTTGGAGAGGCGATATTGGCCTCGTCGCCGGAGGTGGTCTCGCTTGCCGATCGCATGTCGTCGTCAGAGAAGGGTGAATGGGCGCGGCGCTTGCGCTTAGATCCGGTGCTGGGCTTGTTCGCTGACGAGCGCTTGTTCCCGGAGCTCACACCGCGGCGTGGAGTAGTGACTATATTCTTCCCTTCTGGAGATTTGATCGTAGATGATTGAGACGTAGCAGGGGTGTCGTCGATCCCATTCTTCACCTTAGACTTGGCTTCGGCTTTTTCGTCTTGATCATCCTCTTTTGTGATGGGCCCTTGCTTGACCTGCCGTAAAGCCTCGAGGTCTTTGCCGTGTCTCATAATTGCCCTAAAGTTGTCGCTAATGCTACGAACAGTTGGTTTGACGTGCTCACCATCGTCGTCGGCTAAAGCCAAAGTCATCAGCTGCTAAAAACGACCAGGAACCTCGTTGCTTACGCCACAGCTTAGCTACTTGAGCGGCATCGATCTTGAAGTTTGGTGAACACGCAATGGCAGTGCGAAGGAGCTGTTGATGGTCAGTGTGGGAGCTGTGAGACAGGGTCTGAAGAGCCTACAGTGAGCTTTTTGGCATCGTTCCAGCGACTGACGGGCATTTTGGATCTTTGGTAGAGATGAGGAGACTGATCTGACAGGAGAATTTGACAAATGCTGACCGAGGAATGGTAGAGGTTGATGCTGAGGTGATTCAAGAGCGGAATCGACAAGTTTCTGACAGACAAGAGGTGTGTGAATGTGACGAAGAAGGACAGAACTGAGGCGGGAGTAAGGCCAGAGGAATTAATCGTGGGGGAGAAATTCAGCGCCCCAGTTCGCAGCCAAGCCACAAGTTGCTAGAAGCACAGCAGAGAGTGAATGGCGCCTGACATGTTTAGTGAATTTCCTCCTCCTGTCGGTCCTTTGCGGTGTGCGCCATCTCGCCATGAGGCGTCACTCTTCCCACTAAGCACTCTTCTATAGGAACTGCGTATTTTGTTTGCCGTGTGAACAAAGCGTGAAAGCACCTCGCTGCCACTTATAGATATATATACTGTGCGGGGCATAGTGTGCACGCCTGCACCCAGTGTGCGAGCAGGCGATGGGCTCGCTGCCACTGCCACCTCAACCACACAAGAGTTTTGAACAAGAAGAAGAACAAAAGATGGAATGGAATCACAAGGATGGGATCGAGGGAGGGTCAAAGGGGCACAAGAATTCACCACCGGGCCGAAGTTTATCCGAAAGCCTTGCGATTTTCTAAGGATCCATTACAACGGACAAGACACAATCACTAACCCAACTACCTGCTCGGAACCAGGTCAAAAAGCAATCGAGGTAAGACGAGTCCATCAATCAATCGAATACCCGAGAGAGAAGCAACAGCGCGCGACCTCAAGGAGAGCCTAAGACCGAGACCTAACTACTGTCAGCTCTTGATGCGCATATTCAGGCTGCTCATAATCGACAGGTCCAGTCTAAAGAGTTTCGGCAGGATAATTTCCCCGGCAGAGCCGTACAGCACCAACTATCCCTGCAAAAACATCCCCAGGGTTGATGACGTCCAGAGCTGCCGAAAGAATTCCTACCCTCGAATTCGCAAACGCCTTGTGCGGCCAGAACGGCCAGACGAACAGGATCGCAAGTACAAAGGTCTCCAGACAGATGAGGAAGGAGTTCAACCCGAGATTGAGGTCGTTGTAACTCAGATGCTCCGTTGGCTTGAGGACGTCACTCTGTGAGAGGGCATTGATGATGATTCTTTGTACGAGCTGGGTAAAGACGAGGAGCTTAAACACGCCTATTCTATAAAGAATACGTCGGTCGGTAACGTGGAGTTGGCTGCGATATCTCGAGTAGAACTTGGAGATGCCGATGAGACAGGTTGCAGTCAGCAACCCCTGGACAATGCTGATAATGGTCATAGCCCGCTGATAGGACGTGGTTCCGTGGCACTGTGTTGCTTCGACAATCTCTGTGGCAATGACGGTGACCACGCGGGTGGGCAAGATTTGAATCACTGTGATCCAAGTCTTGCGAAACCAGTTGACGCTCGCAGCATTTGAAGGTTTGGCAGTCCCAGGGTTGGTAGCAAAATACTCAAGCTGTCCTTCAAAGGACTCTGGCGCCACGCAGGCAACCAGAAGAAAGAACAGTGCAATGAGTGCGAAGGACTCGTAGAGCTCGGCGATCGGAGTCAGGTAGTTGGCCAAGTTGTAATGCCAGACCCCGAAGAAGCTGAAAATGGCGAACACTGCGGGCGTTCAAATCAGGCGGACAATTTGCTTTTGTCGTCTTGGTTCGGCATATCTCGCCAGGTGTGCAAGTGTCAGGAGACTGCAAACCGCCCATGTCCAGATGGTGGTTCCCGCGGCGATATACGTCGTCAAGGTATGGTACGAGAGATCATTGACAAGAGGTTCTGCTCGGTCTTTGCAGAGAATGTCAGTCAGTAATGGAAGAATCAGCCATGAAGATGTGATACATACCAGCATTCCTGGAAGAGTTGCAGCTGCGCATGATATATCAATCGTTTTTGATGTTCCGATCTATTTAGGATAGCCCTTGGGGTGGTTCTGGATGTGTCCAACTTTTAGGGCGACGCAGGGGATATATATACATTTCGACCCTCCTAGCCCAGAAACTACGTGCGAGGGGCTTGAGAACCTTCTGCAATCGATATGCTCTACAACTCGTGAAATAGGACAGAAGTAGTCGTCATGTCGCGCATGGCTGAGACGGTGTCCCTGTCGATGTATACCAATATACGAGTATTTCTGGTGTGGGTCTAGTGGTTCAATAATAAGTGGTGGATCAACCTGCCGAATGCGGAAGTCTCAGCATGCGTCACACATAATTACCGAGCACGAGACACACGAAGCGGTACATCCATCCCCATGCAGACTCTATTAAGCGAGACAGGCATTGTCAGCCCAGACGATGCGATTGGGTCCTTTGTTACAAGACTTCATCGTTGCAGGGTGTTACCTGAGCATTTCCCTTCCCGCTCTCTTGGACAATACTACGTCAATACCAGATTTCAACGAGGTATACTTTTCAGTTGAGATCCCCACGATGCCTTACACATACCGAGGCCCACGAAGAAGAGCGTGCCGTGTATGCAGGGTCCTAAGGTTAAGGTAGGCAGTGAGTGATTAGTACTTCTCTTGCCACTTGCTATTTTGATCCTGAATAAGGGCGACGAAGCCCGGCCAACATGTTGTAGCCGTTGTCTTCATCTAGGCAAGACCTGCGAGTTTCGAGACGCCTTTGATCCCCACTATGATGAGACAGCACATGCTTCTCATAGAGCTTATGAACTCTGGCAGAAACGCTCAACTAATCCAAGCGAAGGCAGCGCATCGAGTCTCAGCACCACGAAACTGACAGGCACATCGACAAACATGACCTTCGCGTTGGGCCAGTCACCATGAGTTGGCAGTGCAAAGGTTCTTTTTTCGCCTATGCCCTCCAGATAGACAACCCCTTCTCGCAGAGAAGGGGGAAAGGGAGGGGGGTGGGGGGAGGGTATCTAGAATAAGTTCTGGACGTGTGTCCTAGACCCATCAGCCAGCCCTTTCTCCCCACGTTCAAATCCGCTCGCTGCCTTGGCCAAACTTGCCAGGAGACGAGGAGATGCAACTCGAGGCCCGCACCCGAGGTCGCTGTGGCTGAATACGGCAGAGCCATGCGGTTGACAAAGCATGCCCCCTTGAAAGATCCTATTCTAGTGGTTCACGACGAGACGCTCCTAGCTTGACAACTATTGGGATTCTGCGAGGTAATTGCCTCGAGGATTGAGTACATCGCAAGTCACACTTTCAGTGGGATATTGAAGCCCACGCTCTTTTACCATGAACTAAATCCCATTGGACCGGGTATAGACCAAAAAAGGACAAGACGCGCGGTTATGTAGAGAATGAGAGGGAGTGTCTTGCGAGGTTCTTCTAGTACCGCAGGGCGTTCAAGGCTAGCACATCTCAGTTTGATTATTGAATCATCTGGTATACATATTTTATTGCGCTCTTGATGTAAATTGACAAATCAAAGTATCAACATCTGTGCTCTATAGATCAGCTCATTCAATATGCAAGAATTGCCGCTTTAGAAGCTCAATACCAAATGCCACATCTTCATATACAATGCGGAGGTAGTCTCTAGGAAAGGGGAAGGAAGGAACCTCAAAAATACAGCCTGCTAGCTGTTCTCAACAATGCAAGCTTGCGTGCCGCCCACTACAGGTCCGCCAGCAAACCACTAGTTGCCAACTGCCTTTCGTTTTCGCCACCATCTAACCACCCACCACGCCACACTTACCGTGAGCGCTGTTCTGTACGCCAAAAACAAGGCGATCGCCCAGTTCACTCGCCCATAGTACCCATACAACAACTTACCAACGGCATGTTGCGGGTCTTTTCCGACACCCAATCCGCCGATACCGACACTGTGCTTATTGAACGATGATCGCTTAGCCGCTCGAGAAGACTGCTCCCCTTTATCCAGAGGAGCGGGCGCGGACGTCGATTCAGGCCCCATGACGGGAGTAGATTCGGCCACCGGGACCGCTGTTGCCTCGCTTGCGCCATCCATCGCGGTCTGACTGGGTTGCCGCTGCAATTTGTTCGGCCAAGATCCTGACGAGAAGGTCTCTGCGCTATTCTTTCGGAACGAGCGAGTCATGATGTACACAAGTAGACGGAGGTCAGGGACTGTAAACGTGGGATATTTCCAGAGCGCCACAGCGTTGTAGGGTGGAAGCTGATCGAGAAGATCTGCCAGGACGCCGAGTGTAAGACCCCAGAGGATCAGTGGTTGTTGGAAAGTAAGAAGAGAGTGGTGAACAGATGAGGAGGACGGAATGCCAAAGGGTGCTTGGGCCCAGCCAGACAAGGTGGAAAGCTTATCTCCACCCTCCGTGGGTATGAATCCCGGTATTGAGCTGGCATAAACAGACTCTGTGGGGAGGAGGCGAACGGCACTGAACATCATCTTCCCCATTGTCCAACGGATCAGTTTGTGGATTATGGGACCAACGTGCTTGGCCATTCTTGAGGACATGTCCACGGCTTCTCGAGTCCGTAGAGTGGGTGAAAGCAGAGCGCGGAGAGAGACCCAGTGCACCGAGGCGACTTCTGTGGGCTGTGGCTGGACAGGTGGAACGGCCTTGCCTGTCAGGAGGAATATGTAGGGACACAAAACCATGAGAACGTCTTTCCCCCAAGAAGTTGTGACCAGCCGCTCGGGGAGATTCCCTGCGGGCAGGCACTCCGTTGTTTCCAGGTCCAAGCCTATCTCTTCTCTTGTTTCGCGGACGGCAGCAGCAAAGTCATCCGCATCTTCGGGGTCTCGCTTCCCCCCAGGCAAGGCAATATGGCCCGACCACCTATCCCCAGCGCGACCAGCGCGCTTGATGAAAAGTAATTCGGGGTCTCCTTCCTGGACCCATTCTTGCGCAAAGAATTCGCTGAGGGTCGAAGGCGGCGAGGGAGGAGAAGGCTTGTCGACTGCTATGAGGGAGCCATTGACGCTGGCAGGGACGGGTTTATAAGCTGGTCGGACACGGATAATGGCAGCTACGCTGGCTCGTTTCGGAGAGGTATGGGGAGGATTGGGGACATGCGGGTACGGATGCTCGCTGAGGTGTACAAGGACTTTTTCGAGAGCTTTTATAATAGCTCTCGAGTCTTCCGACATAGCGGCGAAATTATTGTTGAGGAGTTCTACTCGTCTCAGAGCATATCTGAGTGGTGTAGATGGGATGCGACATGACTCAATGGAAGTTGGCAGCCTCGTCGGTATCATCTAATCGATGCCGAGGCTGTCGTCTTACTCCGAGCAGCCAATTGGAGATGGCCGGCCGGAAAAATCGTGTCCGAGAATCTTCAGCCGCATTAGGCAAGTATCTTGTGAGCACGGGAGGGGAATCGCCGCTTCGATTGGTTGTTGCTCACCACGCTTTGCTTTTTGGAAGTGGGGAAACCGCAGGAACAAGGAAGGCACTGACTGCATCGAGGTTTCCAAAGCTGCGTTGCGAGTTGGTCAAGCTTTGTCGGTTGTTGTACCAATAACATACATTTATGGATTTTTCTCCCTAGAGCTTCTTCTCCCGTACTCAATATTGACATCTAGATGGAGTAGCTGCTGCGACCTTGAAGACCGGACCTACACTGCCTTCGTTCGCCCGCCAACATGCGCTTTGGCAAGACCCTCTCCGATGCCATCTATCCACCATGGAAAGACAAGTACCTCGAGTACGACAAGATCAAGAAACTCCTCCGCGAAGATGAAACCTCCCCCCAAGGCCGAGGTGGTGAGAGGAGCTGGAGTGAACAGGACGAAGAGAACTTTGTCCACGAACTCACCGTGACCCAATTGGAAAAGGTCCACCAACATCAGGTCGATACATTCAACTCACTACGCGACCGAACCGCTGCCTGTGAGGCAAAGCTCCCGTCTACCGAAGGCGAAGACGCAGGAAAAGCTGAGGAGGAATACAAAGCTACTGCGAAGGAGCTTCTTCCGGAGCTTGACAGCATCTCCAAGGAGCTCAATGAGCTTAGGAAGTTCAGCAGGATCAATTACACCGGGTTCCTCAAGGCTGCAAAGAAACATGATAGAAAGAGAGGTCTCAAGTACAGAGTCCGTCCGATACTGCAGGTTCGTCTTTCTCAGATGCCGTTTAACCAGGAGGACTACTCGCCTTTGCTTTTCCGACTGTCGACCATGTACAGTTGGGCTCGGCAGCAGCTCGAGGGAGAACAGGCTGGAAAGGAAGCGAATACAGACGTCCGACCAAAAGACGAGTACAAGGCTTTCAAATACTGGGTTCATGTGGACAACCTACTCGAGGTCAAGACGTACCTCTTGCGTCGCCTGCCTGTCTTGGTGTACAATCCCCAGTCAGTCAAGGTGGTCGATTCGTCCCAAAAGGACCCGACGATCACCTCAATCTACTTCGATAATCACAACTTTGACCTGTACCAAGGGAAGGTCGAAAAGGGTACTGGTGGTGCATCCCTGCGTGTCAGATGGGCTGGCCATCTACTTGATGAACCTGAGGTGGTCCTTGAGAAAAAGTTCGTCGACGAGGAAACAACCGACAGTAGTGACATCAGAATCCAACTGAAGCCCAAATACCTCATTCCGTTTCTCAAGGGCGAATACAAGATGGAAAAACAGATCAAGAGACTCGAAGAGTTGCTGGGACCTCAACATGAGGACATCAAGGCGTTCAAGGCCAACGTTGACGAGATTCAGTCTTTCATCAAAGAGAAAGAACTCGAGCCAGTTCTCCGAGCCAGCTATACCCGGACTGCTTTCCAGATCCCCGGGGACGACAGGATTCGGGTGTCGCTGGACACTGATCTGGCCTTCATTCGAGAGGATGCAATGGACCCTGACCGCCCGTGTCGAGATCCAGATGACTGGCATCGGTCTGATATTGACCAGAACAAGATGGAATACCCATTTTCCGCCATTAAGAAGGGCGAGATCAGCCGGTTTCCCCACGCTGTGCTCGAGATCAAGATCAAAGAATCCAAGTATACTAGAAATAACACTTGGCTCCACGACTTGATGAACTCTCACCTGGTCAAGGAGGAGAAAAGATTCTCCAAGTTTGTTCATGGCGTAGCCGAGCTATTCGAGGACTATGTCAACAGCTTTCCTTTCTGGCTGAGCGACTTGGAAACCGACATCAGAAGAGACCCTGTTACAGCGTACCAAGAGGAACAACAGAAAGTGGTTAAGAAGGCAGAGGACGAAATGGCCGTCGGCAGCTTCATTGCAGGGTCCAGATTGACCCCCAAAGGAAAGGCGGCGTCTTCTCCTGGCAAATTCGCAGAGAGAAGACTTTCCGGCCAGCTTTCTCAATCTGTTCAATCTCAAGGACGCAGCAGGGCCGAGCCGCAGCTGGAAACCACTGCCGAGGAACGGGATACTGACGAGGATGGCATTCATCCAGCGGACCAGGTCGAGGTTCGAGATTCGTCCGGGGGCGGTCTCCGATCCTTCCTTCCAGCCTTCTCGAATTCTCGTTACGCCCGTCGTCACCGCCAAGGAAAAGGAGCATGGGAGAATGCTCCGCTTCCGCCTGGTGTCAAAGAACCAAGTTTCTGGATCAAAGATCAGGGTGAACTGAAAATTGAAGCCAAGGTCTGGCTCGCCAACCAGCGAACATTCATCAAGTGGCAGCATATCGCAGTCCTCCTAGCCACCCTATCAGTTGGCCTTTACAATGCTGCTGGTGTTGATAACAACATTGCCCGCATCCTTGCCGTGGTGTACACCTGCTTCGCCGTGTTTGCAGGAATCTGGGGCTGGTACGTGTATATGTGGCGTACGAAGTTGATCAAGGAAAGAAGTGGGAAGGACTTTGACAATCCGATTGGGCCGTTTGTCGTTACTATTGGTTTGGCAGCAGCATTGATCTTGAACTTTGCTTTCAAGTATCGTGCTGCATTACAGAGTAACAACCCCAGTCCGAGCAATGGCACGACAAGTCCTTTGATGCCGATGGAAATGTTGGCGCCCAAGATCCAGCTTCCCCAAGCGGCTGCCACTGGCCTTCTTGTCCAGGAGCTTTGAAGGTGCAAGACCTGGTGAATAGGATGGATGCGAGAGCTGCGACCGATTGAACTGGCTTGGCTGAAACGCACAGCACGAGGATGGGTGGTTGGATGGCTGGAAGGGAAACAAAAATGACCACAGATATAACTATACTTGTCAGGCTCAAGGGAAAGAGCCCCTCATTATGGGACCAGAGAGTCAATGCATCAATAGTCAATAGCTTCTGATTATAATATGGCAGCTCCAGCATGATGAATCCTGTCCAAAGTGATGACCGCACCACACCACACCACACAACCACACCCCCCTTATTCAGTACCCAACCGGAGTCCAGGACCTAGTACATACGTACAGCCTTGCAAAACGAATCGGCGACGCAGGCAAGGGAACAGTGGGAAACAAGGAATTGACGCAACCCACGCCCAACTGACTGACTGACTGACTGACTGACTGACTGAGTCACTCACTCGATGATGAGCGATGAGCGAGATCTTGTGTATCATACCGCACTAGACTCAGGCAAGTCTAGCATAGCCTGGTCTAGCCTAGCCAACTCAAGTCAACCCAAGGCATGCCAGATTTCCATCCTCTCACACCCTCTCATTCATTTTCTGATTCGATTTCAGGACACGCTCTGCATTGCATTGCATTTTTGTTATACGAGGACAAGGAGGAAAGAATTCGCTCGCGGAAGAAGGTTCTGGGGCAGTGCCAAAAATTGGTGCAAGGAATATGTCGCCGCAAGGGAAATGTATAAACCGCACAGACTGGGCCAAGTAAGCATGGGTAGATGCAATGTGACATGCTCCAGGCCAATCCTTTGTGGAGATTCTTCTTCTTTTCATTCCGCAGAGAAACAAGTGGGGATCCGTTTCTCTCATCTTGCTCTCCGTCACTGACTGCCATAGTCCACCTCACTGTCTCGCCTCGATAACAACGCCCTCGTAATCCCGGGACTTGATGTAGTCGAGTGTCCTGAAAAAGTGCCGCTTGGGATTCTCCAGGGCCTGGGCATTCCCTTCAGAGTTTGTTGTCGATAGGTTTGAGTGGATCAGCTCAATGAGCCCATTCAGGTACTTGGTCGTGACCTGTAGCAAGCATAGTTAGACACTATCGGGCAAATCTAAGAGTGGGTCGTCCTTACCGTTTCGTTTTGCTGATCAAAGTAGTACACATATCTGTTGAGGATTTCGACAAAGAGTTCGACAGAGACTGCAGTATCCATACAGGCATCCGCAACACGTAATGCCCGTTGGAGACATTCCAGCACCCGCTTACCGTCGCGGTAGAACTGTTTTCACCTGGTTAGCATTTCAAGACTTCCAACAGCATCTGCGCCTGTCACAACTCACATTCTTCGGGTCCTCTTCTCTCCCAGGTATCTCGACGCACCACCATAGATGGCTGGCGAGATAGACCGCGCGACATTGGTCTGGCTTCTTTAGCAGCTTGCTTCCGTGCAATGCGGCTTTTGTAATCAGCGTGTCGTAGTTTTCCTTTCCAAATCCCCTCGTCATCTGCAACGCGCCGGCGATGATGCAGACAGCCTGGAACTGTGCCCTCGAGTCACTGATACTGTCCTCGTAGATGGTGAACGCTTGGGCAAAGAATTCATATGCGAACTCCTCAAAACCACACTGGTCGGCGATTTGACCACATGACACAAATAACCGAAGACATAATTCTGCCGCTCCAGGATTAACACGGGTATATAATTGGGAGAGGGTTTGATGCATGAATCGGTACAGCGCTGAAGATTGATTTTGCCAGTTGTCATCAAAATGTTCGCGGGCTTTGAGTTTCCGCGCGAGCTTCATGGAGGCTGTGATAATGGCGGGTGTCGTATATTTAATCCGCTCGTTGCCCACCTCGTAGGCTTTGCGCATCTGCTGTAAGAGTTTGAGCTGAGTGTCGTTGTCTGGCCCTTGAACAAAATGAACTATTCGGCCCAGCCACCCCTGCTCTTCAACGGTCTCGTCCGACTCGCCACCCCTCGGGCGGTTCAGCCCGGGATAGCCAGTCGGTTGCTGAATGCCCTCTTTGATGATAACTTTGAGGAGAGACATGATTCCGTCCAGGTGTTGCGTGGTGGTAATTAGCACATGATTCCGCAGGATGTTCTTGGCCACCTCGCCGGCCACAGCTCGCCTCGTCGCATACGTTTGTGATTGGTACAAAGGCAGATAGTTGGGAAGAGCTAGCGCCGTGAACAGCGACATATATGTTCTGATCGGCGCAAGAAGGAGATTGAGCATATTGGCTTGCGTTGCAGCGGAATGGAGGTCGGCGGAGTCCATATATTCTGCGCCCTTTTCTCGGGCATAGGCTAGAATCTGATCCAGGTATTCTAGCCTTTCAGGGTAGATATTGCTAGCTGTTGTTAGTTTGACCATTTGCTTAATCGAATGAGACCAACGTACAGTGCGAGATTGGCCAACGAGGTCAACAGGGCCATTGTGTCTTGGATGGGGAGACCTCGGGTTTTGACAAGATTTACGACTTGTTCGTAGAAGATCTCAAATAGCCTCACATCACCGACGCCGGCCCCTTTCTCACCATTTGTTGCTGGTGTGGCCGGCGTCGCCAATTCGGACTCGGTCGTCTGTGTCTCTGTAGGTGATTTGGTCTCAGTGCCATTCGTCGTGGGAGTATCCGGCTCAGCAGCCGGGGGGGCAGGCTTCGTTTCCTGGTTCAAGTCGACCTTCTCGAGCATGCGGGTTGCGGCTTCTTCTTCCGCCTTTTGCTTGTCTTCGGCCGACATCGGTTCAGCGCTTTCTCTCTGTGCATAGGTAGACAGGCGATCCATCAAGCCGATGACAATCTTCTTCATATCGACATGTGGATTTAATCTCGCGATGGCCGAGAGCATCTGGTCTAGAGTGTGAAGGTGGTACTCGTCTGGAAAGACCTTGGTAATGACTGGATCTCCGTCAGCAAGACACCATATTCAGATGCTGTCATCGTACCTTCGAGCAGATATTCCTGGGCCAGGACATCCCGACATTGAACTACCTGTTCCAAGAGCGGGCTGATGATGGTAGACTTGTATGTCTCTAAGTCGACCAATTGGCTCAACCTCACCAGATTGCTTCCAACCAGCAATTCCAGTTCCCTCCGCTCTTGCGTTCTTTGCTCCCTTTCTCTCGAGTGGCCCTGATGTTGCCACCTGACCCAAAGCTTGTTCATCTCCACGAAATTGGTAAGAATGAAGTTGATTGAGTCTTGGAGATTACCCTGAGGTCCCTCATCTTTGCCCGTGGGTAGGTGGTCACGGGCTTGGCCCATCAGGTAGTATCGCAGGAACAGACCTCGGATGGGATGTTGGACACCGCGACTCATTTCCATCATGTCTTTCATTATCTCCTTGACCGGCGCATCTTCGACCCCCATGTATACGGTGCCAACCGTGATCATCAGATATAGTCTGGGTATTATGTTGCCTGCGTATTGGACGAGTTCGTAGAGGTCGGCGAGGTGGTTGACGGGATGCGACTCGCGGAGATACTCGGACAAGTGCCGTAGAGCATCAAACACGGCCATGTAGAGCTCATAGTATTGCTTCGGGCCTAGGGTAGGTGTGCGCAGCTCGGATACCAAAGTTGACCTGGAGTGTTACATTGCGGTTAGTGAGGGTGAGATTATTTGAGGCATTGAAAAGTCCATACCCGCACTTCAGAGCGTCCATGAGCTTTCCCGGCGTCTCAAGGCATCTGCGCATCTGCTGCGACTGTTGACGCACGACGCCGAGAGCTTCCTCGAGCAATCGGCCCTGGTCTTCGACGGGCGTGCCTGTCGCCATCTTGCGATGGCGCTGGTGGCTCGCACCCAACGGCGAACGAGAGTGGCAGCGAAAAGAAAGCTTGGAGAGATTCTCAAGAGGTGTCGAATTGCAAGAAGTACAAAAGGATTTGTGCCGATCAACGCGCAAACGACCGGGCGAAACCTTGGGATGTATTCGGGAGCGTGCACGGGCAGTTTGGCAGGCAGCGGAGAACTACCTGCGCCTTTACCGGACTTCGACATGGGAAGTTGCGGGCGGAAATGGCTTGGCAGCGAATCCTCAGTAGATTCGATCTCACACGACCTCAGGCTGCCTATAGTACCTACACCCTACGTCTTACAGAGCAGATACTTGCGATGGGCTATCCTAAAAAAGATTGTGCTGGTATCCAGCAACGACTTTCGACCGTCATCATACTGAATGAAGTAGTCGTTCTTCTCTCAGATGTCATGTTCACTGGTGAGGTTACGAGGATATCCGGTCCAAGAACACCAAGCCAGGGCCAAGGATGGTTGCCAGATTGGAAGAGATAAATAATGCAAAAGCAGTTTTCTATTGTCGTTGTTATCATTCTTCTAGATATCACAAGTGTACAGTATCAGCCGTCTCAGACATAACCGCCAGCACCTCGCTAAAATCCAATATATCACAATGCCTCCCTGGGAACAACCGCTCTTTGCCAACCAAGTCCACAATCCTGCACCCATAGATAACCCTTTTATACATTCTTCATTCACGGAAGAAAATTTGACCAACATTGCTTCATGGAGGTGTAGGGATGGAGGGCGGCACACCCCGGAAGGGGTTGACAGGCGTGGTACTGGCCGCCGGTGTCGATATTGATGACCACATTGTTGGCAAGCCAAGTGTCCAGCTTGGTTGGGAAGGGGACTCTGAAGTGGCGGCAGTGCTCTCTGCTGCCCAGCTCGAAGAGCTTTCAGGCGTGACTGTGTAGTAATAATATGTGTGCCACATGCCGTCGTCATACGGCCTGGTCGAAGGGAGAGATTGTGTGACAGTCACAGTTACTGGTGAAATTGTTTCCGATGCAGTCACTTGTGCAATGGAGTATGACGAGGGAGAGGAGTCGGAAAAATATTGCTGTGTCGAAGAGGCAGGATGTGCTGGTGTCGAGGTTGGCGAGTAGTCGGTCACGGTAATAGGCGAAGGAGAAGTGACTGTCACAACTAACGTTGTGGCTTTTTCCGACTCTGTGATGACAATGGTGGATAGTTGTGTCGCTGTACGAGTAACAGTCGAGGAGCCATCGTCGGTTGTGCTTCCTCCGCCCACTGGGACAACTGAGTAGGAGACAGGTGCTCTTCGCTCGATCGCAGGGAAGAGTGGCCAGGCTTCGGACAGGACTAGTAACGAGGACACGGCAAAGATGTGAAAGGATGTTCTCAACTTCATTCTGCTGAGCAAGCGAGTTTAGTATCACAGGAGAATAGATGTCTGAGGATCTACTCGGCACTTGGAGTAGTTTCTTGATCACAATGTTGATGTAGGAGGAACCTGAATATTAGAGAGGAAAAAGAGAACAAGGGAAAAGACTCTTGAACATCTACCTATCCATGTCAGAGCAGAAATGCAAGGGCTGGTCACTATCACGAGCATTTCTGCACGCGTGTGCGGCACTCATGTGGTGTGGCTGCCGTTTTCACTGGCACTGCATCTCGTTGAAGAGGTTGGGAGAGTCAGATTCAAAGATAGACGAGAGCAAAGCGCAGCCAGCCGCCAAGACCAAAATGTAAACAGTGGCACCACCTGTGATTGGCCGAATCAAAGTGGCTGGCCGCTGAACAACCCCACCGAGAAGTGGCTGGGGAGACAAAAGTATGTAAAACTTGCAAACAGTGCAAACTCTGGAACGTTCATCGGCGGTTGTTTCGCATTCCACCGACTCTCATCAAACAGTTTCAGAGCGCCACGCCAGATCTAGACCTGTCTTCAACGCGGTCTGAGTGCTCCGAGCACCTCCGACTTCTGGAAACAGGCATCGCAGGAAGCGAATGACTTGCATTAAGTCCCACGATCAGCTGGCCTTGGCTTTGGGCTTTCGGATCACGATCCTATCACCTTCTCGCGTCCAGCCAATATCTTCTAGCTTCGCCAGTTCCTCCCAGCTCAGTTGACCACCTGTGGCGCTCTGGATGATCCAATTGACGTCACAGGCATAGTAGGCTCGGCCGATGGCTTTGAGGACCATCCTGCGCTGTGTTTCGAGGTGCCAATGAAGGATCGCTCGCACGTAGCCATCAACCTTCTGTCGAACGCGCCAGAATGTGACCCAGTCTCCCGTGGCAACTGATTTCAATAAATTGTCGACGATCCGATTTTTGAATCCAAAGCGGACACGGCTTTTGTACCTCAAGGCATACGCCTGACCAAGATCATGTTGCCGGATCGCTGTGTCAAGGATCAAGTAGCCCGTCATCTCCACCAACTCGGAGCGTGGCAGAGGGTGCTCGGGCGTGTGGAGGACAGACAAGAGGTGCATCAACGAAGCATGGTAGCCTTCTGGGTGTAGCGCGAGGATGGCGACTCGGATGTTGAACACATGAACTCGTTGAGAGAAGACTGGATTTGGTGCAGAAGTAGAGCTGGCGAGTAGGCCCTCACGTAGCTTTCGCAATGCTAGGAGAATGATTGACAGCTCGGCCGCTTGCGATGGCGACGCGACATTGCTTACTTGACTGTTTGTAGTGACAATAGAGTCTCGTTGTGCAGTTGGGCCAGGTTGTGCATTTGTCTGCTTCCCGGTGGATTTCTTCGATGGGTCCAAGGCCGGCGACTGGCCCTCGTCGAGAGATAAAGATGCAAAAGCATTGTCAAGATCCTTCGAATGCCGCGTGCAGAATTGCATGTAGCGAGCAACAATCTTGTTATAGTAGCTCTCTTGAGTTTTGAGGTCGAGCAGCCTTGGTCTCGTTATAAACAAGCACCCTGAGCCCTGTCAGAAAGAGGGAGATACCTATTATCACCCTTCGAGACGAACCCCATTGCCTCCAAAGGATCCTGCTTCACTGGGCGCAACCTGTCCCATGGCGCCGAAGATTTTCGTCCGAGGGGTGGAGGGGCTTGAGCCATGTTTGTCTCGCCTATGCGATCCTGCTCGACATTATACCAAGTCTAGTCTCTGTGTAGCATGTGTCGGAACACTGCGCCATCACCTTTTTCGTCAGGCGCTGGACAATGGTGAGAAGCAAAGATGATGCCAGGGGCGCGTTGTGCTGCTCGTACTTCGTAACTCGTAAATGTCTGTGGTTGAGTGATTGATGGGAAGGTCCGGGCCGAGCCTCGCATTGACCTCATCGCCTCCAGGTCCCGATATTTTCCCGCTTCTTTTATCATTTCCGTCCCAACATTTAAATTTCTCATGTTGACCGGTTCATCAGAGTCAGAGTCAGAAAGCAGCCATGTCGACAAGGAAATTAGACGACGAAAGACCTGGAGATGAAGGGACAACAGTGCCCCCTTCTAGTGAAGTAATGCATCCTGACAAACAACCTGCTGAGGCCGGAGATCTCTGGCATACTCTTATACACTGGCATGATCTACCACACTGGCTGCAAGACAACCAGTTTATCCACGGCAGCTACCGGCGGGCATCCTACAGCTACACAAGATCTCTTCGAAGCATTCTGCACTGGCATAATGAGAGCGTAAACATCTGGACGCATTTAGTCCCTGCCACTCTCAGCTTGCCCTTTGCAGCATTTCTCTATAGCGTACTGGAACCTCGCTATGAGAAAGCATCAGTGGCCGACGTTATAGCAATGAGCTGCTTTTTCGGTGGTGCGGCTGTCTGTCTAGGACTGAGCGCATTCTACCACACACTGTCCAACCACTCTCCACGGGTTGCTAGACTCTGGAATCAGCTGGACTATGCCGGTATATCTGTGCTGATTGCCGGTTCATTCATTCCCAGTGTATATTATGCATTCTGGTGTCATCCTGGGAAGCAATGGACATACTGGATTATGGTGAGCAATAATCCGACGATGCAAGCACACTACTGAGATCTGCTCCAGATTTGCACCCTGGCCATAGCATGCACCACAACGTCAGTCCTTCCGCGGTTCCGAACACCAGCCTGGAGACCTTACAGGGCTTTGATGTTCGTCGGCATGGGCATCTCCGCAGTATTTCCTGTCTTGGATGGGCTGAGGACCTTTGGACTGGGAGATCTGGAGAATCAGATTGGTCTGTCTTGGCTGGTATTGCAAGGAGCTCTGTATATCTTGGGAGCCGGTCTGTATGCGGTAAGTCTGCAGCCATATTTATGGTGATCATATGCTGAATGAAGAATTTCAGGCGAGGGTTCCAGAGGCCATCTACCCAGGCAAGTTTGATACCCTGGGAAGCTCACACCAAATCTTTCATGTCTTGATCGTCTTGGCCGCCTTGTCCCATCTCAAAGGACTCCTCAAAGCCTTTGACTACCGGCATGGGGCCATGTCGTCTGTTTGCATATAGAACCAATCGCAAATGTTCACAACTTGAAGTCGGCATTCACAAACGCGCGTAGATAACCGGATTCCCTCTGACGACTGGCGATCTGCGAGGCCATCGACGTTTTCAACTCCCGCGATCGATCTGAAGTCAAATCGTAGATGGTAGCAAGGTTGATTGTCAAAGTCTGGAAAGAATGTCCGTCATTGACGAGCTTTTCCAGAATCTGCCGGGACTTTCGGACTTCCCCTCGATATAGATACGCGACTGCGAGGTTCTGTTTCACGAGAGCTGCCAGTTCTGAATTAGCACTGGCTTCGTTGTCAGACAGACCCGCTGTCGTATCGTCATATCGGCCTTCAGCAATGGCGAGAAGAGATCCAAGTATCAGCCTGTCTTGCGAGCCAAGCTTTCCGGAATCAATTAACTTTTGGGCTCCGACAATATCGCCCATCTTGATTCTCAACAGTGTCATCCTGGATGTCCAGAGTGCCAGGTGATCATCAGTTCTGGGTTTCATGTCTTGGAGCGTCCTCACAGCGCAATCGATATCTCCCATCTCGATCAAGGCATTCACAACCCGGATCGACACTTCACTCAGCCTTTCTGCCCACAGCTCTCTCTGCTCAGGTGACGTATGCGGAGAGGACAAATGTTCTCTGCATTCCAGCGCGACATCGTAGAGCGTAGAAACACCCCTCCTCGGGTCTGAAAAGCCGATGCTCTGCAGTCTGAGCGCTTGCAAACGTAAAGAAAAGGGCATTATATGGCTCGGCACTTTGTGTGTACTAGCCAGATCATCTTCATCTGCACTTCGCTCGAAGGCCGGCTCATCATAGTAAAATCCGGAACTCAGATCCTCCAACGCCTTGGCCTCCTGTGCAGCAAACAGCAAATTCCCCGACAGTTCGAGACAAGAGTACCGAATCTCCAGCAAGCGGAAAATAGTTTTTGCGTCCGTAGGCCGTACCGTGCCGGACACCAGGATTGAGCCTGCCAGCTGGGCAGCACGTAGAAAGTCGCATTGAGAGAGGAGTGAATCCAGGTGTTGCATGGCGGTCTGGAGAGGAGTTTCGGGCTTCAGTGGCGGGAGAAATGGCTTTCGAAAAGGGCCGGGGATCTCCAGCTGAGAGAGAGGATGGTAGATTGAGGCATCGAGGAGGAAGGAGAGATCTCTTTCCTCTACCGCAGCCACGTCTTCAGTTTGAGCCGCCTGTTGCTGATCGCTTGGTGCTGGTGGTCGTCGGGTAGCTGGTTCAGCCGCCTCTATAGGTTCACTGACTTCTTGCTTTGGCGACAGCTGTGCTGTATGGTTTTGAGGTGAGGGTACAGGTGTCGTAGATAGAGCCAACGGGTCTGTCGGCGCGTCCAGCGGGCCTTTAGTCGTTCGTCGAGGCAGGGCTGTTCTACTTGACGGCTTACGACTGTGGTGTGCGGAAGACATTTTGAAGGGTGTGTTGCTCTTCACTTGGTGTCAGATCATCTGTCCTGAGCTCTTCCACCAAGCCTTAGACAAGGTTTAGATGGAAGGGGGACAAGCTGACAAGGCACAAGGACCTCAACGTTGATGGGATGGATGGTAATCCGGATAAACCTCGGGTAAATGCACGGGAAATTCACCACGTCGCGCGCTGCATTGATGATCTGGCGCGTACGACCTCCAACTGCGAAATCCAGCTGGAGATTCTGTCTGTCCCGCAAACCGCATCACGACCACGTCGCAATCCACTCTGACAATACACGCGGCAAAGTTTTACAGCCATGGGTTCTAAAGGTGACAAGTATTCAGTCATCCTCCCCACCTACAATGAGCGCCAGAACCTGCCCGTGCTGGTGCAAATGCTGTCCGATGTCTTCACAAAGGAGTAAGTCGTTCAGTCCGCCCTCAAACCCTGTTCAACACGCACGGACCTTAGGAACTATCTAACCATATCTCTCTGCTTGTTTCGCCGTTTGCTTGCAGGAAACTGAATTGGGAAGTCATCATCGTCGATGATGCCTCGCCGGACGGCACCCTCGAGCGCGCAAAACAAATCCAAAAATCCTTCGGCGCCGACCACATCATCTTGAAGCCGCGGGCAGGCAAACTGGGTCTGGGGACCGCATACGTTCACGGGCTGCAGTTTGTGTCGGGCAACTACGTGATCATCATGGACGCCGACTTCTCGCACCACCCCAAGTTCATCCCCGAGTTTGTCAGGATCCAAAAGGCTACGAATGCGGATATTGTCACGGGCACACGGTACCGGTCCAAGAACGGACTGATCGGGGGCGTGTATGGGTGGGACGCGAAGAGGAAGTTGACGAGCCAGGGCGCCAATATCCTCGCGGATTTCCTCCTGAATCCTGGTGTCAGTGACTTGACGGGATCGTTCCGGCTGTACAAGAAGGAGGCGCTGGTCAAGGTGATTGAGAAGACGCAGTCAAAGGGTTACACGTTCCAGATGGAGATGATGGTGCGGGCCAAGGCCATGGGCCTCAAGGTCGAAGAATGCCCCATCACCTTTGTGGACCGGTTGTACGGCGAGAGCAAATTGGGTGGCGAGGAGATTGTCGAGTATCTCAAGGGATTGCTGTGGCTATGGTGGTCGGTCTAGGACGGGCCACTCTTGTTGGTTACCGGGTTCGCCGGTTATTTTGAACAAGAAAAAGCATTCTACGGTGTTTTGAGTCCGGTCGGGGTTTACTGGGTGCGGTTGTGGCGGCAGATGGATCAGAGGATTGATTCACCATTTCCTTCTCTATTCCTCTTCTTCTTGCAGCGGCCGAGCGACAAAAAGAAAAAGAGCGCAAATCCTCCACCAAACTACACAGTTTCTTTCCGCCCCCAACTCCACTGATCCAACCTGCACAACGGCGCAAATATTGCTCCGGCATAACCACGGGGTCGGCGACCATTTAAAACGGCGATGGTGCTCTTGTCTCCAGCAGGAAGACCAAGCCTGCGTTCACGAATGGATCCTCGCCACTCTCTTGTCCAGACGGATAGCTTTCGGGCCCCGAGTCCACAGCTGAGGTCGCGCAACCTGGTTGTCGGCACATTTCTCCTAGGATAAAGGAAGAGGAGAGGGAAGAGAAAATGACCAATGAGAATAAAGAAGAAACACAGACTCTGATATAATACCCCCGAATGTGTATCCGTACGCGTGCCCCGGTACTGCTAGCCTGGCTGTGACCTTAAAGTCATCAATTCGCTCCAGTCAAAAGTCCAAATTGAGTCGAAGTGGTCGGCTATTGTCGCTTGTAGGAGCATCGCCGATGTACCAAAAGCACCTGGATACCAGACCAGACAAGACCCGTGCGTCTCATGTCCAGGGACTTGACACTACATGTATCAGGCGCCCCAGGCACGCCAGCTGAATGTTGCCAGTAGATTAAAGCTGCAACAAAAGGACCAAAATGGAGCATTCTCGTGGATGACTATGCATTATACATTTCATTCGTACCTATGTACCTGTTCACCGACATCAGCACCCTAAGCTGTCTTCTTTCCATTTTGAATCCATTAGCGGCTATTTCTTGTACATCAGGCAAACTATTCACACCGTCTCAATTGGAATCTCGTGATGGTCATGTATACATACATAGATAGTGCACTGTTGCAAACCAATCAACAATGGCCAAGCTCATATCATCACGTCTGTGAGGGTGTGTCAGCTAGAGCAAAGAGTTGTCGGGCGGCGCGATCGTAGTGGTGAAACAGCTATATGCCATCCTATCCCATCCTCTCCCCTCCCTCCTCTCTCGACAACATCCCGTCATTGGTCTGGAGAGTAGCCGGCATGCCGAGACGTCATATGCAAGGGCATCATGTCCAGGCTTGTCAGGGTGACCTGCAGTCAGCCCTAAATCCTGCCTCTCACACTTTCTACCTAAAACACACGTTGGCGCAGCCACACTACCTCCAGCTTCGTGTTTGTCATGCAGCCTCTCCAGAGACGTCATCATTCTTATTGGCGTGATCTCGCGTGGTTGGATCTTTCGTCGAACATTCTGGTGAGAGGGCTGATACAAGGGCGAGGCTGAACCTCCCTGGACATTTTAAGGCGGCTGGCGGTTATTGGCTGGGCACGTCAGCTACCTAGGTGGTTATGAGACGAACAGAACAAAAGAGCAGTAAAAACGTCGAGTTGGAGTTAGAGAGCATTGCCGCAAGCTGCAATCCTCCATTCAAGTGCCGATGTTGTACTCGTAGATCATGACGAGCTCATTCTGGGATCAGAACACAGTTCCTATGCCATCCAGTTGCCGATCGTGATGACAGGCTGTTAATCTCCCTTGTAGGTAGTAAGCTCGATACGAACAGGTCCATCTGCCCTAGTCGATCGCACGATGCCGGATTTATTTCTTCTTTGTTGATAGTTAATAGTTGCTGCTGCATCTCGACCATGTTACTCTGAATTGCAGGCGCACTATAACTGGCGAAGCATTCGATATCGGCCCCATACACAAATAGGGTAAATGGTTTGCGAATTTTGACGAGCCCGAAAACAGAGCCCAGAGGAATTCCTAACCTGGATATTCACCATGACCGCAGAGCCGGAAACTAAAACCCATTCTTTGTGAGTAAGCTCCCGCAACGTTCTTTTGTTATGTTCTGCATTGGCGACTTGGAGGGCACCGAAAGGAAGGGTTGCAGAAGCAGATTGGTGGAAATGCGCGTGATTGGAAGACAGTGTCGATGAGAAAAGGCTGGTAAGAGTATCTCCTGGCCCCAAGGAAAGCCGTAGTCGCTCTGGGTAGGTGCTTGTCTTTGCCCACATGGTTAAGAGCGTCGTAGAAAGCCCCCAGCACCTTGACTGGATGTCGGCGACCACGAGTAATTACCTCGTAGTCCATTTCCCATGGGTGCCCATCCCAATTAGGGCTGATTAGTCACTTAGCATGTAAATAGAGCGGAAGCAAGGAGGAGCCACGCTTCTTTTTGATCCCCTAGGGCTGAAAGTCACGCCCGTCGATAGTGGGAGACCCGCCAGCTAAGTGTAGGCCCGAAGACAGGGTGTGGCTCGGCTGAGGACAGCGGGAGACGGTCGTGAATGGACTGCACCACCAAATGCTCCCCCTAATGATATGGGGGCTCCAACTCGCCGGCATGGCAGTCCAGGGGGGGCCGGAAGGGAAGATTGACTCGACGTGGTGACCCAAGCCAGAATAGTCTGTGCGCGCGGAGCCAGCCTCAAGCGACTGGCACTCTGGGTCCTGGATTGCTTTGCATATCTTGGCCAACCATGTGTTTGCGAAACCACCTGAACCTGGCCGCTCCCTGTGGTGACTCCAGTTCCTGCTTATTATACCTCACCGCCCGCTCTTGTGCTACCCGATCAAGGTTTTGACTGAACCAACCGACGAGGAGGCGGAGCAATACCACCACCTTCCCGAATCCTGATGCTGGGGGATGCAGTCTTGATGGGGGCACGGGGGGCTACTGGCTGGCAAGTCGGAGAGGAATAGCTCAGAAGTACCGAACTCGACTCGGTTGCGCAGGGTTGAACCACTCGACCCGCAGTCCAACATTGAGAAGGTGTGTCAAGGCGGTATGCTACCCATTCGCCGTCTGAAGAGACTGCTCGTGGGTCATCACGATCCGGTAGTCTTCTGCCGCACCTCTTTAGCCGGTCAAATTAGCGCCCTATATTATCTAAGGGGCCTTGGATCGGATTCTTATCCTTCTTGTATTCTGAACACAACGGCTTCAGCAAAGTTCAGCTGGATTCCCAAATGTCCATATTCGTGCGTCCGAGATGGTACCACGAGCCATTGTGGTCGCTGACAGGCGTCCATCGCCGAGTGGTGAGCAGCGAGCACAGCCAATCGTCAAACCGTGCAAAACGCCCCGGCCTGTCGAGGTTCAGAAGCCGGCAGAATCTACACTTGTAGTGCTCGGAGATGGAAGGGCAGAAGGGGCTCGAGAAAGGAGTAAAGAAAGTGAAAGGCGAAGTGAAAGGTCACCTACAAGATTGAAACGAAGCCATCACAAAGTGCGCACCGGCTGCCTGACTTGCAGGTATGGCTTTCCACAAATTTCGCCTTCTTCCTCCTCTTCCTACCACCCACTCTCCAGCCCTCTCCCTCTGCCCATACCCTCTCGCACCGTGTCCTTCTCTTCTACTTCTCTTCTGTCCCCTCCCAAAACCTCGCTGACTCTGAGCAAGACATCGGAGGGTCAAATGTACGTCAATCCCCGCTTCCACAGTCCCAAGGATCCGATCCAGCGAAGGAGTATAGCAGCATTGCCATGACTGCTATTTTTGTTGTGTAACCCCGCCTCTTCAATGGGATCTTCTCTCCCGCGCACCTAAGCTAACTTGACTGTTCAATGTGCTAGGCGACGAAACACATCCGCGATGCCTACGATGTGCCAAAGCCGGACGAGTATGCGAAGGCTATACCCAACCAAAAGCCAGTTTGTCAGAGCCATCATCCCGTGGACAACCACTAGTCAGAGGGGTCCATCCTTGGTTTACCAGCGGCAATCCGATTCACTTCTATGATGAGCCTGGTCTCATTCGCCCTACCCAGTTCTTCGTGGAATTCACGGCGCCTCGAATTTCCTCCTACTTTACCGAAATGATGGACTCTTTCGTCGATGATAAAGCCTTGGTCCAGTACTCGTCCAACTCGGCCCGAAACTTTTGGAATCGATTGGTTATCCAAGCAAGTCAGACCCAGGCCTGTGTCCGGCATAGTGTTGCTGCATTGAGTAGCCTTCATGAGTGGATCGAGCTCACAAAGCGAACTCCCTGGCAGAACCACACCTTTACCCTCTACTACACCAAAGCCATCACTGAGATCAATCAAAGCCAAAGCGTCCTGCCCCTCGAGATTATCTTGATCTCATGCATCCTATTCGCTCACTGTGATTTCCTCATGGGTGCGTCCGCCGCGGGTCTCACACATTTGAAATCGGGACATCGCATCATTTCCGAGAACAGAAGAAGACAAGCCTCAATTGCACCAGAGATTGCCGAGTTTATCGAACCCATAATACGTGGCTTCATGGCGAAGTCGGAAAACTACGCGTTGCGAGAAGAGGCGGGACCCAAGGCCGATCCGGCCAACCCAACGGGGGTTGCAACTTATGCGGTGCCAGATATGCCAGAGGTCTTTGAAGACCTAGCGCAAGCAAACAAGCACTTACAGCAAGCGGTCTACATGGTCCTTCTTCTTGAACTTGGTAAACCACATCATTCGGCGCCAATGATCCCAGGTGTCCGCAAATACGTTGCCGACTGGGCGAGCGCGTTCGGTCGCTGGAAAGCCACCCTGGAACTTGACGAACCCCTCCTGACAGACTGGCAATTACTGTTGCTTGCTCACCATCGGATGGCCCTACTGATTCTAAAAACTCTCCCTCCAGACAATGACAGCAACTACAATCGCGCTGCGGCAGACTTTCGGATCATGTTTGCCCAATTACGGACCTTCTTACGCAGTGGATATACTATGAGGGAAAAAGGGCAGGACAGCAACCTGGTGCTGAAGGTGCATCTAGGCTTCATTGCGCCGTTGTACTTTATTGCTACGCTGTGCCGAGTTCGCGACATTCGCCGAAACGCACTCGAGGCCTTGCGAGACTTGAAAGTTGTCGAGGGCCATTGGAACAGTTGCGTGGCTTACGCCGTGGCTAAAACCGTTGTTGAAGTCGAAGAAACATACAGTGAGACTTTGATGAGAGTACAGCATATCAAGCTCGAAAGTGTCGATCGAGAGAAAGATGGAACTCTTGAGCTAAGATACCACAAGGTGCCAGGAGACGGAACTCACGCCGATGTTGTGACCAGAAAGATCACGGAGCCTTGCTGTCACCATGAACCGAACACGCAATGGGTAAGTGCTCTTTGTATGTTCTCATGCTTGAACTAACCATTCGACCAGCCGCTGGTACGTCTTGTCCAGCTTCATGGATTCCAGGCGACGGTCAAACCTCGAAAGCTGAATTGTACTTGCAAACGGACGCCAGCGTAGTGACGGCCAGAAGATGTTCTCCCTGCCGGGCATGATCAGAAAACATACCGACCGCAAGGGCAGACAACAATTCCCACAACCATACCGTGGCGCAGGTTCAGACGACTATGGTGTCGAGATGTCAACTCAGCTCAGCTTCCTTCTCGTCAGAGTTGGTATCACCCAACACAGAAACAGCGAATGTCTGCCCACCCCCCGGATCGATCCAGCTGTCAGCCCTCATATTTACGCCATTGATGCCGTCACAGCATCTTTGGTCATCCGCCCCCAAAATGTCGCATGGATGGGAGACTTGCACAAGTTCCACAGAATTCCTTCTTCCGAAGCGATGAACTCGGACTTGGACTCCCTTTCCTAATGTGTACTGGAACCAAAGAGTCTCTCCTCTTCCCGCTGAAGAGGTGACATTCCAGAATAATATATCTGAGCGAATCATCTTTCCAGCGGAAGATGATTCTCGCAACATCCAAAATGTAAAAACAGTGTTTTATATTGTTACCACCTCCATATGGTAAGTAGCCTCGAGGCAAAATTGGGCAGGAAACCTCGTTGCACCTCCTCGGGCATAAGACGTATTGAACGACGATATATGGGACTTGAGACACGGTAAAAGAGCACAGAGTGTAAGGTATATACGAGACATACATGTAGATCAAAAAGATGAATGCCGAAAGAAAGGATGAAAAAAATGGGAACGCGGGTCTCCAATTCCAGCATTGTGGCAGACTTTATGCACAGAGGATAGTGTGGCATACCTGTAGCAACCTAGCTGTAGCCTGGGTGTGACGGCTCCGAAACATAGTATGAGATGCGGTTTCTGTCTTCAGGTCTGCGATATTCATTTCCACAGTCATTGTGTCATCTAGTCCTTGTACATACCTCATCGTCGCCATCGTACCATGTCCATAATGGTTTGGACGTCGCGGGCAGGATGGCATTGACCCACTGACTCATTTTTGTCATTGCTCCCTCATTATCCGATTTGGGTCTCTGCGTTCCCTCAAAGTCCGGTTGGCGTTCGTCGTCTTGGCATTCACATTCCCATTCACGTTCTCGTTTATCCCCGTCATGTGTCCATTACTCTTCCCCATTAAACTGGCGTCCCGGTGTTTATCCTTGCTACTGCTGCTCCCGCTCTTCGCATCTCGGATCTCGTGAACTCTCATATCGAACCCGACCCAGAACCGCCGGTCGCGCCAGGTCACGGTCGTGCCGCCCCAGATTGCCCAGGCCCAGATGGGGAAAGCGAGAGACTCCCGTCCCAGCCAGGCGAGGAGCCAGGCCGAGAAGCTTCGCCGTGAGCGCACGGCGGCGGAAAGAGGTTGGGCGAACACGGGGAGTTCGGGTCGTCCGTCTTCTGAAGTTTCAAGTGCTGCGGCTGAGGAGTTTGTGTTCGAGGAGTTCGATAAGGGTGAGAGTGAGGATGAGGGTTGTGGCGTAGACGTCTCAATGGTTCGGCCTGAGTGCAGTAACAAATACACGGTCCAGTCCACCGCCAGCCAGCAGAGGATGCTCACGCTCCACCACATCCAAAACCGCCCCCACGACTCCCCAGCCCAGCTCTTTGTCCCGCTAAAGGTAGTCAAGCCCCAGGCGCCCATCAGCGAACAGAGAAAACTCTCTGTGCCAGGCTCGACTAACGTTGCCACAGGCACCGTGAACTTCCTCACCCTCAACCACCGGACCCGTCGGGATATGTAAGATTGCAGCGACATGGAGTTGATGGGTTGGATCGCCAGGTCACCGTATACTAGCCCATGGTTTCTCATCTTCTTCGGAAGGTCAGGGACCGCCGGCACGGGGGATTTCCACAGCAGGTCGCCGATGAGATGGTCTTCGCAGATGTTGTGGGAGAAATAGTCGATGCCGATCCGGGTATGATGAGGGCCCCTGCTCTCTTCGTGATGATCCTTCGCGCCGCCACTCCTCGTGCTTCTGGCGTCCTCGAGGGCTTTTTGGGCGGTGAGATGGTCCAAGTGCACTCGTCGGAACATGGTAGATTTTCCCAGGATGCAAGGAGCCACGGCCACGGTGTTGATGGCAACGTACATCTTTGCATGCGAGGAGGAGAGGAAGAGCTCTTCGACACGGCCGCCAGCACCCCGCTTGAGTTGATCTAGCTTAGACAGAGTAGCGGTAGTGAGTGTGTTGGCGGGCTGGGGTGGTGTGGAAGGACGGTCACTCCGAAACGCAGAATCTGCCACCCGTCCATCAGCCTGGTCGGTGCGCAGATCCACATCGACTGATACGGGGAGATGATGAACCAATTTGTATGGCGTTGGTGGTGGGTGTCCTTCAGTCGTGAAACCGCATAACCTGTCAACCATGCGCGCACAAACACCCCGGCCCACCCAGACATTACAGTCCAGGATCCATATGAGATCCCGCTCGCCTGCATCGCGGTATGCTTTGCTCATGTTCCGTATCTTCGGGTTGGGCCCTAGAGACCTGCGATAGTAGCTCTCCTCCTCGTCTCCGTTGGCGAGTCCGTCGTCTTCCTCCTCGATGAAGATGCGCGCATTGTGGGCCGGGTGGTCGCCCACGACCCTCTCGATGATGCCGTACGCCGGGTCATTTCGCGACGAGACACAAAAGTGCACCGCTACCCTGTCCCGGGGGTAATCTTGTCGGAACGTCGACGCGAGACATTCGTACAGGTAGGGTTCGAGGCCCTTGCAGGGTCGGATCACCGTGACATGGGGGGTTTGGTGCTTTGCCGACTCGTCTGCAAGGACGGCGCCCCGTGAAGGCGTCTGGCGATAGTAGAGAAATCTACGTACCTAGTACATTAGCGATCAATCTCAAATTTGGGAGCTTGGTGGGCTGGGGGTGCCATTTTTGCCTTGGGAACAAAAGAGGGCGGGCAAGACGCACAGACAAATGTAGCCAATGGCGCAGACGCAGGCTATGAAAATGTACCACGCGATGCAAATCACCGCGATATGATCTCTGAGCATGAGTGTAGCATGTCGGACGCAACGAGTGACGGAATGGAGAGAGAAGAAGAGAGTGGTTTAGTGAACTGCACGATCGATACACTACAGCGAGAAATTGATTTAGTGGGTTGATTTCGTCCAAGGAAGTAGTCTCGAGTCCCGAAATTTCCGCTTCTGCTTCTAAAACCGCGACATCGCCATGTTGTAACACCACCAAAATCATCAAAGACATAATCTACTCTGTAGAAAAATAACACAAAGCTATGGCCTGTGTTGCTGCTCTTCGGCCATGATGGGTGCGTCAATCTCTCAACCATGCGCGCCGTTTCTCCTCCTTCTTCTCCCTCCGCTTCTCCTTGAACGCTTTTATCTCGGCCTTGCTCAATTTCTTATTTGCCCTCTCGGCTCTCAGGCTTCTGCCATCATGACTATTGGCGGCAGCATCCACATCAAAGAAGGCATTCATCTGCCGCCGACTCTTTTGCTCATCGGTGAACTTTTCAGGATTGAGGTCTGCTCGCTGCCATTTCCCTGTGAAGCGATTAAACGTCCCCGTGGCAGCGTATGGGTCGGCAGGATTCGTGCCTGGAGCAGCGCCGGGCGCCATGTCTACCGGAGAGATTTCGTAGGCTTTGGCGTAATCGGCATTCGGGTCATAATCACCGTGAATGGCAGGGTCATATCCACCGACTCGATTTGCTGGAGGCCCTTGTACGCCCCCTATTCTGTCGTGGTTTCCAACTCCTGGTGGCCCGGCTTGACTCGGTGCCTCCGGTACTCGTGGATTCTCCCACTGGGTTACCTTTGTAAATCGATTGAAGAAATAGAATGCCTGGGCATGGTCGTCCCAAACCGGTTCCCAGCCATCATCCACAGGTTGAGTTGGAGGTGCCTCGACGGGTAATGGAGGAGGATCTTCCTCGGTAGGAAGAGGAGGGTTGGCTTCAGGTGTCTCTGTGGCACGTTGGTCTTCTGGATCTTGATCTAAGGATTTTGCGGGCGATGAATCATGGCTGTTCACTTCCCCATCTTCGTCACTGTGAGGGCTGTCCTCTTTGCGCGTTTCTTCTTTCTCGGGACTGGTGACAGACATAATACATTAGCAAGGAAAGTAGGAGAGCGCGAATGGCCTGGAGGTCAGCTACAGCATGTTGGTCTGTTACACGACTTGGCCGCAGAACGCAGGTATACTCATGTAACTCTTGTATCGCGAGGCATCAAGACTGAGGCTACGGTACAGCAGCCCGAGGACCAGGATGAGGATCTCTGGGTTGATATGACAGTATGGGCGACGGTACGCGACGAGTTTTGTCAGGTATACACCGGTATCGGGTGAAGACAGCTTGGAGAAGTGTTCACGCAGTCGCAAAAAGTGGGCAGATCGAGGACAATCGCAAGGGCGAGAAACTTCTCCCCCTTCGGGCTTAGTGAACAATATGTAGGGAAGGTTTGCCGGAAACACGAATTTCAGAAGTAAATTTCTGGCCCAGGCATTTCTACCCCAAACCATTCGGACAGAGAAAGCCACAGAGAGCCAGAGGGCGACCTTTGTAGAGTCTCACCTACGTGTACGCTGCAAGGAGAGATACACGCCACGTCAGTCACCCTGCGTGTCTCTAATGAAGAGCTGATCCACCGACTTCCGCTTTGTTGACATGCTTTGTCATCCGTCGATCTGGAGGTAGAGTCGAGACAGGCATTTCACCTTATTTGTTTGGCGTCTATGCGTTCCAGGTTTCTTGCCTCCATCAAACATCATTTGCTACTCTCCTCCAGACAGCGAGTTATCCTCTTGATTTCCAAATGAGCAGGATTTCTCGCCTCTTGCGGTGTCGAGTGCTGAATCTGGGTGGCTGTGCTGCAATTGAGGTGCTGGTTCGAATCCATCTTCGTTGCCGAATCATATTCTGGTTCAGATTCCTCTTCAGATAGACTTGTGGCAGACCCACCCCATGCCCAATGTTCAGGAAACGGGCTTTTGTTCGCCACAACCTTCGGAGTCTTTGAGTTGATTTTGTCCTCAGAGGGTCGTCCAAACAGGAAGGTAGGAAACTCCTCCTCACTAAGCATGGAAGCCCAGTAGGAAAATGAGTGACTGGGTGGCGCAGATGTCAATCTCCCCCAACCACTCTCATAGACAGGACCAGGACTCGGAGGATTGCGGGGAGTCTCGATTCGCCTGTCATGCGAGGCTGTTCTGCTGGGTAGTGGTCTCGGTGACGCCGGCGACATGTCTCCTTGTGTAACAAGACCGGTCGCACCCCTGAGACAAAGTGTCATGTGCAGGGTAGATTTTGCAGCCACATTGATATCGTTGTCGCTATAGTGCATTGCATTTTGATCCATAGTTCAAGTCTCAGCGCGAAACCAGGATGGGATTGACAAATGCTGGGGGAACAACGTCGCGACTTACAAGGATGGACAGAGAGATTTTGAGAGCTTGAGGCGACTTCGACCTTTTATATATCAGGCTGGAAGGTATTGTGTGACAAAACCGGACAAGGCAAAATCTGGGCCCGGGGTGTAGCGACGAGGGGAAGCTGTTGGAGCGGCCAGTGAGGCTGACACTTTAGGCTTCAAGCTACTGGAGACAATCGCGTTCCCATTGGTGGATAAAAGGCGCTAATCCAAATATGGACCAAAATCTGGCCACTCCGGTCAACCTCCCTTTTCCCCCTGTCTCTCCCTTTCCCTGAATCGTTCACCGGCTTCTAAGTCAACGACCCGACTTCGTCCCTCGATTGACAAATATTCAGCTTCTTATTTCATTTTCGAAGCTTCCATTCGCGCCTCATCATGTACCAATGCAGCTAGACAGACAACAGATATGTCAGAAATGTCATCCCTCCCGTCGCGCCTTTCTGCCGCCCTTCCTGTTGGTCTGGAGCTTCGGGTATATCACTTGTCAACGCCGCCTACACGAGCGCCCGCCTTGTTCGCGCCTTTGAAGGGCCATGACGAAGACGCCACTTTCTGCGAGTCACACTTCCTTGCAGTCTCGTCTCAGAACGAAGACAAGGAGATTTTAGCTTACGCGGTCGAGGTTTTGGTCTTTACGACTCAGTCGCTCGTGACAATATTTGTCTCAAAAGCCGACTCTTCAGGCTTCACTTCCCGCCTCAACCAACCAAAGAACTATCCATCTCCTATCTCCACCGTCACTTCCACCTTTATTCAGTTCTTGGTTGAACCTCGTCTGACCAGTCCAAGAGTGGTCGTGTCACTTTTTGCTCGCTCGCAAAACCAATATCTTTTCCCTGGGAGTTCTGAGAATGCCGGAAAACACATTCTCGACGATCGCCGGCTCATAAAGTGGTGGTGTCGAGTGCTCGACATAGTTATGCGCCAACCCAGGGATGATGTAGTGGCTACTGCACATCTGTTGGTCCCAGGATGCGACAAGAGCGGAGTCAAGACCTTTTTCCCACCATCAAGCCAGACAGATTCCTCTTCAGATCCAAAATGGGTTGATTCATATCCAGTCAGCCTTTTAGTGCCGGACCCTCTGCTTCCTCCGAGGCATGTGGTTCCCCGACTTCCAGACGATCCCAAAGCACGGTTTCTTGAGGACCTAGACGAGTTTGTTGATGAAAACGGAGAATGGCGGGGTGTGAAAACCCTTGATCAATTCTGGGAGACGATGTCGTATAGACAAGAATGTTCTGCTGGACGAGTAGTAGGTTTTGTGTGGCTGGTCTTCTCTCGTGGCCAGACCGAACATACTACACTAAACGAGCTTGAAAAGACCAGTCAGACGGAGAATCTAGCCAGCCAACCCACTAAGCCGAGCCTGATTACGCCTGCCAATTCCCAACAGCAGCACGAGACTTGTAATACGGGAACAGGATCGCCGACTGCCTCCATCCTCAAAATGAACGCAGAACTAAACTCACCACCTTCCTCTTCGCCTATTCATCCAGACTCTGAATCCAAAGCCATAGAGAACGGACAAAATGCTGATCATAGTGCTCCTGTGCCTGAAGTAGCGGAATCGTCAATGTTGCGCACGACTAGGGCAACGAGGGGCGAGCTTCTTATCGACGCTACCCAATATCAGGCATTAATGGAACATCTTCTGCGGACCGACTTTGCTCATGAGGCCCCCGCTGCACAAGCCACCAGAAGCTGGATAGACAAAGCTCTCGAGCTATCAAGGGCGGCCTCATTCGGACATCCAATACGTGGCCGTGCTACGCCGGTCTTGGCACCGCCCACAGCTCCGGATGTCGCGTCATCAGCTCAGGTCAACGTGCTGACTGGCGTCCGCAAGAAAAGGAAGGCAGACACGCTGGATAATGGCACCACCACCAACACCACCACCACTCCTAATAACAGCTCCGCACCTGGAATAACGCAAGCGGTGGCTTCAACAACCGCCAATACTCTGCCGAACAACTTGATAACAAAGAAGCCAAAAACCTAAGGATGGATCACAATGTGTCGATCGCCTGCTTGGCACAGCTATTTTGTGCCTGCTGGAAAGGTGATCCCGGTCAGGTATCTTGATTGGACAGAGAGCATGCCTCGTGCCGGCTCTTCCAGGTTTTGACATTTTGGGACAGAAGTTTAGGATGCTAGGACCAAGCAGGAATTTTGCGTACGACTTTTGGACATGGCTAACCCTTGAAAGCAGTCGTCTCGAGTCTGTGAGTGGCCATTTGCCGGGCCAGAATTGTGGCTATACAGCGTCGGGCGCCCAGAACCGCCCCATCCATTTCTCTATTCCCATTGGTTCAGATTCCGCCATTGATCGGTGAGCTGCCAAGCTGCGCTCCGATTGGGTCTCGGCAGCCGCCAGGCTGGATTGGCTTCTCCTAAAAATGGAAATTTCTTGCAACCTCATCTTGACCTCTCGGCGTCAGGCCTCACCATCGGTCGACCCTGATCCCGATCTCTTCCACAGCTACCGTATGAGTCCTCTCCAGGCTACCCCAAGACGCGGTCTACTGCAGAGAATGACAAAAATGACAGCCGCCTTGCATCAACGGGCGGCCTTCTCCAGTGCGGCGTCTATTGTAACCCCTCCGTCCTCCCCCAGTCCGTTTCAGTTTTTGCTTGCAAATGCTCAAGCCGGCCAGGCTGACCACGGCAAGTCTTGAGGCATCTGCAAACTGTATGGCCATGGATATTTCTCTTGTACCGCCGCATCTCATCTCTATCATTTCTTTCTGTTCGTAAGTGGTTCTGGGTCATCTCTTGCTGTTGCTTTTTCTCTTTTTTGTTTTTTGCATTTGCCCTTGGGCTGCTCCTTAGTCTTTGCCAGAGCTGGTGGCCAGTGACTGTTGGACCTATACTGCCTGGTTGTCCAGTATCATTTCTGTCAGTGTTTCAGATCATGGCTGGGGTTATCCAAGCCCTAGTTCTCTTCGTGACCGTCGTTGCAGCACAAAACAACTGTTCTATTGTCCCCATATACGTCGACTTCCACGTCAGAGCAGTTGATGGTGGGGTCAACGAGCAATATGGGCTGTTTTCGGGGGCTGGCTTCCCAGTATCGCAGAACATGTCACACTGGCCGTCGTTCGCAAACAACGAAACAACAGTGGCCAGCCTTGACTACTGTACAAACAGTCCTTTTGAAGACTGTCTAAATCACGCCCACGGGTTCTATTCACCAGACCTGTCCCAGAAGTCAGTGCCAGAGTTCTTGACCGCATCGTTCTAAATGCTAACTAACGACTTGCAGCTACTCCACTGCCTCGTCTTACCAGTCACTCGATAGCTACGGCTCGATCCCCGCTAGTATCCTCCAAACTGCATTCGACACATTCAACCTCTTCACACACTACTACGACCCTTCTCCGCCAAACATCACTCGAATTCCAGATTTCCCCGTCACCATTTTGTCGAATTACTCGGCGAGCACGTCTCCATGGTTTGGTCCCGCAGGTCTGCTTGGCCTGGGACCGAAAAGCACGCTGCTGAACCATCTCTACGATCTCCAACTCATCTCTTCACGGTCTTTTGCACTGTACATGGGCACTGCGTACGAACAAGCCAACGGCGCCATCAACGGCTCTCTGACCCTCGGTGGGTATGATTCGGGTCGCTTCGAGGGCGACGTGCACAATTTCACCATAAGTTCTGCTCGGC